AGCTTATTTTAGGACATAAGAAGCAAGTTAGAATCGATTCGATTCCATTGTGCCAATTCACCCTAATTAAAAGAGTGCGTTGGTAGAAAAGCACATTTATGAGACACCAAAAGGATGATCCAAAGGGCCTATGGATTCGCATAAAATTTTGGGGATAGGTTAAACGGTCAATGAATGTGACCCAAAAGTCAAATGTTTTTGTGAATGTGATTCGACCCATTCAATCACGCAAACGCAACGAAAAATCGAATCCACGCATTCTTTCTTTCTTTTTTTTATGGAGTAAATTCTTGTAAAAGGAGTTTTACTTTACACTCGCAAAATTTATACACACTCCTTTTTGCTTTTAACCTAAATCTTAGAGCAGTGGAAATACTCTTGAAGCCCCGGAGCTTCAAAATTTCTCTCTCTACTACGTCAGCTTTAACTTACTTCACAGATTCAGTGGAAATGGCTTTGAAGCCCCGGGGCTTCAAATCTTCATTTTTTACATTTTTAAATATACATCTTCTAAATTTAAATTATTAAATTTTAATTAATTTATTATTTAAATTAATCACAATGAGACTAGTGCATTAAAAAAACTACATTCATTAAAAAAATATTACATTCATAAAAAAAATACATTCATAAAAAAAATTACATTGATTAATAAAATATTACATCCAAAAGATATGTTCGATCAAATCCGCCGTTAGTGCATTGTGAATCTCTCGGCTTCGAATTTCTTGGCGGTTTCTTCGTTTATTTTCTTCGTTGATTTCTTCGTACATAGGCACCTCCTCGTCCGGATTGTATTGACAAATCGCAGTCTCGGTGTCCTCTATGATCATATTATGAAGAATAATACATGCGTACATGATATTCCTCATTTTCGTTTGAGAAAAATATTTCGATGGTCGATCTAGAATGTGTCATTTACCCTTCAAGACCCCGAAGGCTAGTTCAATATCTTTTCTCGCCGCCTCTTGAGCTTTTTTGTAGGTCTGGCGTTTAAAACCCATTGGTTCGAAGAGGGATTTGACAATCGTGGAATAATCTTGATATATTCCATCGGCCAAATAATATCCACGCTTGTAAAGCGTCCCTCTAAGCTCAAAAGACGAGTCGGGTGCGGTCTCATTAATCCAATTGTCAAAAATAGGCGATTGATCGAGAACGTTGATGTCGTTGTTCGAGCCCACGACACCGAAAAAAGCGTGCCAAATCCACAAGTCATTTGAAGCAACAACTTCGAGCATGATAGTAGGCTTCGGATGATCTCCCCGGGAGAATTGACCATGCCACACAGTGGGACAATTTTTCCATTCCCAATGCGTGCAATCAATACTCCCAAGCATGCCGACAAAGCCGTGTTTAGCGGCATGCCTTGCATGTAACTCCTGAATGTCGCTCGCTGTAGGCTTGCGTAAATATCTTTTATGATAAATTTAAATAATAGCTTTAGAAAATTTATAAACACAGGACCTGATGCTCCGAGCCGACATCTTCAAGTATTTGTCGAACATATCAGATGTCGTCCCGTACGCCATCTGACGGAGCGCGGCAATGCACTTCTGGACACTACTAAACCCGCGTCGGCCTCTCGCATCAAAGCGTTGGGTGAACCAAGGAACCTCGCGTTCAACATCAGCGAGTATAAATACACGGAGTATTAAAGTAGTCGTTTAGAAGTGAAGCGTGGGCGGCCGCTCGATTCCGGTTTAAACGTTGTCGTCGGGTCCGTCGTCGGGATGATTCGGCTTCTTCTTCTTCGCCTTCTTCCCACCATTGAATACAACTCGTGACAAAACAACAAAAAACGAGAGCTCTTTTTTCATCGTCAGATGAAGATGATCCCATTTTTAAAATATATTTTATAAATATTTATAATAAAGAATAAATATTTTAGAGAGAAGATAGTGAGAAATGTGTGAGAGAAAGATTTTTTTAAGGGAAATTTATAGGTTTTTTTTTAAATATTGAATTTTTTTATTTGGGGAAGGGGGGGTAACGGCTAAAAAGAGGGGAAGGAAATGCGTCAAAGTTATGATGCAGTGCGTCTCACGCCCGGATGAAGCCCATGGGGGCGGTGTTTAACGCCCCCCGGCGTTAAACTCAGCCATCACGCCCACCGGCGTGATGACCATTACCACTGCTCTTAACCAACCTAACATACCCGGTAATAAAGATGTAGCAAAGTTTAGGGTAGTAAAATAATCCCAACATCAGAATTTGCCCATTTAGTTAATGTTGGTAATTTTTGTGTCATCAATTTATTTTGTGTGATCGAATTTACTTAGATCGGACAAGAGTTTAAATAGACGTTGTCAAACGTGTTAAAAAGCGTGGAGTGCGCGCTCATTCAACGATGCCGCCCCCGGATAGCGGGATCCAAGGGGCGGCAGCCCCTGGCGGGGTCTAAGGGGCAGAGCCCATGGTTGGGGTCGAGCTGCCGGGACATGCAGCTGGGAATTTTTTTATTTCGGACGTTGTTTCTTTATGAAAATCCTTAAGATTTTCGTGATCGGAGTCCAAAACAGTAAAGGATTCGAACGAGTGGATAACGTCGAAATAGACTCTAAAACCGCAGGAGACCTTTCGTTCAAACCCTCCTTCCTTATCGTGCGTTTCTTCCTCTCCGCGTGAACGTTCATGTCCGGTCATGAATTTTCGACTCTATAAAATAGAGTCTCGTGGTATGGAGTGAGTGAGGGATTTTGAGTGCTTGTTGTTGATTAACGCCTTATCCGATTGAAATATTTCGTATACCCCGAAATAACTTTGATCTGAAAGCGTTTATACACGATTCGTTATACTATCGAGTTCTTCATAAACACTGTTCCGCAGTGTTCTTCCTACAATAATTCTAACAGTTAAGACATAGGCATCACGTTGAACATGAGAAATACAAACCGACCAAAAAGAAAGTATAACGAACCAGAGTCTTAGATAGTCATATCAAAAGTTTGTTAAGCTTTTGTTAAAGAGTCTCGGGACATCCAGGCAATCTTCACTCTTCAACCAAAAGAATGCAAGTGCAACCATTTTTGTCATTTGAGAATCTTGAGAGCAAGGCAAAATATCTTTAATAGGGTATAGAAGTCATCTCAAAATCTTGAGAACAAGGCAAAATACCACTAATTGCCTTTAAAATCCCACCTTATGAATCATGGAGATTAATGCTTGGCCCTATCTCCCTGGCAAGTGATTATATGATGGACCTAAGGTCCATATAGACTTTATTACATATTTTATTTTAATTTTAAAAAATACTTATTTTAACATTTGAAAATGCTTATTTATGTGATATGAAAATCCATCATGGACTCTAAGTACATGTAATAGTTTTCCCTCCCTAGAACGTGGGGACAATGCAACATCGAGAAAGCATTGACTAGAAGCTCTTGAAAAAAAAAAGAAGCTCTTGAAGACTACTTCACCAAACCCTAGACTTGCGACTGTTCTGAAGACTGCCCCATGCACCGGCCTCTCCGACCTGCTCACCACCATTAACTTAATCAACCAAATGGTGATAGCCGACATTGAATCCCTAAACCTAACTTTTCAAAGCCCCGCTCGATGTTCCTTCAAGGATAGAGATTCAACGAGGCATTGGAAGAGTTGATGAAATGAAGCAACCTTCTTGATTGAGTTGCGCACTCCAATCCCGGGCCCGTCCCAAAGACTTGAAGAAAATTGGAGCAGTCTAAAGACTATTTTATGGCAAGTCTAAAAAAAAATTAAAGCTCATCTTGGGGTGGATCATGGATGTACTCCGCGGTCATCGCAATTCTTTAACGACACTAGTTATTATAGTAACACCTAACAATGAGAACAAATAAAAAAGATGAAAAAATTTCAGAATAGGTAATAGATACGTATAGTACTCCATCTAGCTGTACTTGTTAAGTGTGCCTTTCTTATCATTTCAATGAATATTTTCACTTATAACTCTCATACATTGATCATGAGAGTCATTTCACTGTCAATTTGACCACAAAGTTTTTGCGTTTAAGGTAAAGAAATAATTCAAGTAATGTCCGGGACGATGAAATTGTAATAGATAGAGTATGATTGTATCTATTACTCCCATTGTCCCATAATTGATTTACTACCTCCATCCCATAATTGATTCTACTCTTGGAAATATGTGTCTTTTAGATTTACTTTATTTTACAAATTGGTACACAAATTAAAAAAATACAACTTACATATTAAATAACTACGTCAAAAGTTTTAATAAAAAACAAGGGACAACTAAAATATTTTATTTTATCAAATTATCAATGAAAACACAAAAATAAACCAAAATTATCAAGAATTCAATATATAGGCTGTAACTTCTAAAATAAAGTACTCTATTTTTTAAAAGCTCCCTTGGAGCACCTTTTTTGGCATTTTAACTTTCCAACCCTTTATATTATACGGAGTACTCCGTAATAAAACACAAAGCGGAAAAAATGGATGAGAAAAAGCTTACTACAAAGCCATCCATATCATAATTAGGACCAATATTGTAACTAAGACTAAAAAATGAAAATTTATACGGTCAACTATACTTTCATTTCCTAAATAAAAGAGTTAACACTATGAACACTTGTGTTGGTATTGTACATTATAGGGTGCTTTTGAGGACCTTCTCACATCAATTTTTTTTATTTTTTATTAAAAAAATGAATGCTTATTTAAGCAATAAAAAAATTATTATTTTACTCATATGTAGGTTCATGATGGATCTTAAATTTACTAGGTAATCTCCGCTATTAAATTGGTGTAAGATTGTGACACCAACTCATTTGGCGCCCCTATATGGTGCTCCAATCCCAAAATTAGCGATTCCGACCCTCGTAAACCCCAGAGCCCAGTCCAACCCTAACACACCATCGCACCCACTCCAATTGCACCACCCAAAATACACGTCTAAAATTGCAAAGAAAAAGTTATAAGGTGTTATAGGACGAAGTTTACTAGAGAGAGCAAGAGCTAAATATTGGACATTTGGACGATGAAAGTACTCGTTAGGAAACATAGTACGCGCAAAAAAAAAATGATTCATGAGAGAGATACTGGTGCCATATATAATCAACCATAAAAAGTATCAACTACATTCTTTCAGAGAACCCCAAAAACAAGTGCAAAAGAGAATAGATCAGTACCAGCTTATCTGTCTTTTACAATGGTGTCCTAAAAATAACATAGCACTAATGATGACAAAACAGTACACATTCAGATTTAGTGATACAGACAATCTCATATGATGGGAAATAGAACCAAGTACTTGGTAGTCAACAATGGTGTTGAAAGTAATCAAAACTTAGAGGTTGCTGGCAGAAGGGGACCTGTAACAAAATTTAAAAATAATTAAGTAACCCAAGTACACAATAAGTTACACTTTCTAAAGGGAATAATTAACCCAAGTACAAAACTTGAATATAATTAACTCAATATTTTGACCTACATATCCTTTTCTAAAGGGAAAGACAAAAAAGTGGGAAAATTTTGGAACTAATGAAAAAAACCAAAGTTGGAAAACTTTGTGAGACAGTAGCGTTAATGTTTGTGATAGTCATTAACATGCCATCAGTAATAATAAACCACTTATTAAACCAAACATATCTATATCAGGTTCGTTCTCTAGTGCTAATTCTTTTTAGGAGTCTAGAGTTCGAAGCCTGGAGCCCGAAGTCTTAATTTAGTCCAATTTATAAAAGAAATCCAAAGCAGGGAGTCTTAAGTCTGTAAAAAAAATAAGTCCAAGAGAACGAGCTCATAAAGATTGTTATGCTTCCCTAATAGAATATGCGGCTCAACCCTGACAAACCCACAAATTGCAAAATCATTTGTTTGGGAAAGAGTTTGTAATTAGCGTAAGAGTTTTAAGACTACGGTTGAATAGCTATTTAAAAAGCTAAATAAACACTAAAGATAATGTCAAGCGGACACAATTACTAAAATGAATTATATTAAACCATGAAAAGGCATAACAACAATTTACATAGTCAGCGACTTGATTAATAAATTACTCTGGGCACATCTTATGGTTTGAACACAGTTGTGGTTGGCTGTTGTCAGCCTATAATTCTTAAATACAGACTGCATATCATATAATATGATGACTCACTCACAAAGAAGTATATGAATTATAAAGCGATTAACACATTTTAGACGATTAGATTGACGCAGAATCTCATATTGACTGTAACTTGGACTAAGGTGCCATTCATGTGAATGACAAATGAATTATATTGGTGTCTTATTTTTATATTATTTTCGGTTCAGCACTTAACAACTTATTGTCAATACATTTATTAAAATAGATCCTACATCCCACATTAATCTTCACACATTCCTTTTTGGAATGTCCCAAAATAACTCTTTAAATGAGTTTACCATTCGTTGCATTCAACAATGCTAATAAGCTATCTAGAAAATATTATAGATAATTAACCATAAATTGTTTGCCAATAATGAAAAACGGACAAATAAATTCAGACAAATGAAGTAATTTACTAAAACAGGCATCACCCATCAAATCTAGACGAAGAAACTTCTTGCATATTCGCATACATGCAAGTGTGTGTGTGCTTGCTATGAAGATGGATGTCATTTTCTAGACATGCATGTTAGGCATTCTCTTTGAAATCATTTAGCTCTTGTATGAAAATTAATGAATGGTAGATTATGTTATGGATATTTTTCAAACAGGTCAGCAAATTATAAACATTTATTTCATTGGGTTGACCCGACAAAATGGAGAATTTTCCATTAACAAAACAAAAGACTGCTCCATGACGAGTCATTGGATTTGTTGGGTAGAAAGAAGTGCAGTAGATATATGAAACTGGAAAGTACCTGAAAACCAGTGTGTCTAAGTTGCTCATATGAATGTGCATACATCATTGACTGAGTATGCCATTGAAGGTTGGCAGCATCATTGGTCATTTCATTTAATCCCACCGCAAAGTAAGGGTTCACTGTAGGGTTCCTATAGTTTAATGAAGCATGAGCCGTAGGAATCTGACCGGGCAGATGAAAGGCAGATTCATATTGCACATATGGAAGCTGGAACTTGTGGACACCGAGAGGTGTCATGTTAAAGCTAGGATTGGCTGGAATACTCCTAACATATCTGCATTGTTTGAACACGAAAAATTGCTTGGATGAGCAATACAAAAGTTCAGCCACAATGCAATCTAAGCCAAAACGTAGAATGAAAAAACCACTAATCTAAACTTTTGGTGGAAAAAAAAAAACCCACGTGACCATTTAATAGCCACTATTTTATCTTATCAGCCATTTTGTTGTTGCTCTATTTTATCTAATCAGCCATTGTTTTCAAATATATTTCTTTACTTTATCATTAAAATGTATTTTCGATATTTTTCTTAATTCAAGGCAATCGAATTCACCATTACAAAACTGGCTGAGTATTTTTCCAAAAAACAAGTTTCTCCTATTGCATATGTGGGATTAATGGTAATTGACTATTTTAAGTAAAATTAGAAGTATATTTGCAGATTTAAGTATACTTTTTTTCGTAATTGATATTGAGCGTTTGCAGACAAAAAATGCTTGAATGCTTAATTAATGAGTAAAAGACGTAATTGTCCCTGATTAATAACATTAAACAACTATTTCCATCATCTCCGATGGAGCCAAAATTTCACTATTTTTTGGCTTTGGGTGTGATGGAATAAATCAAAATGGATCTCTAAACTATTTGCGCTTCTTTAATTAATGAAGTAGCAGTTAGTCAAGCAATGCAACTTTCGACGTTGAGCCGGGGGTCTCTTTGGAAACAGCCTCTCTACTTTCGAGTAGGGGCAAGGTCTGCGTACACAAACCCTCCCCAGACCCTACTCTTGTGGGATTTAACTGGGTTGTTGTTGTTGTTGTAATAACATTNGCTTGAATGCTTAATTAATGAGTAAAAGACGTAATTGTCCCTGATTAATAACATTAAACAACTATTTCCATCATCTCCGATGGAGCCAAAATTTCACTATTTTTTGGCTTTGGGTGTGATGGAATAAATCAAAATGGATCTCTAAACTATTTGCGCTTCTTTAATTAATGAAGTAGCAGTTAGTCAAGCAATGCAACTTTCGACGTTGAGCCGGGGGTCTCTTTGGAAACAGCCTCTCTACTTTCGAGTAGGGGCAAGGTCTGCGTACACAAACCCTCCCCAGACCCTACTCTTGTGGGATTTAACTGGGTTGTTGTTGTTGTTGTAATAACATTAAACAACTCTAGTTATGAAAAAAGTGTAGAAGTCATTTAGAATAAGCAAAAACAAAAGTAGGCAGCAACCTCCTTTTGGATTATGAGTTTAAGTGGCTCCAAAGTGTTCATTTAGGCAAAAAAAAATGTTAATTATCACTACAATTGCATAAGCTAATTACATAAAAAACCAATAAGAAAATGAAGTGTTCGAAAACATTTCCTTTAAAACAGAATACTTCTCTCATTTTTAGAAAATGAAAATCATTTAACAGCATTGAAATAAATTCCAATAAATATAAACTTGCAGGAAAATTATCACACATATAAAAAGAGAAAACAAAGAATTAGCATACCTATCATAACTTCGGTCATAATCAGGATCAGTAAGATCCTTCTCCCTGTCCCTAAAAATGGCAACCCTGGAAGAAGATCTATTTTCCCTGGTGTGGAGATTTTTCTCACAATCCAGAACGGAACTCCTTATATATTCACTTTCATCTATGTTGTCCTTCTCATCAGAAACACTGTGAACTAATGAATCTTCCGTTTCAGCACTGTTTGGACTGTTAAAGATGCGTGCCCTTGCCTTGTCATATTCCTCCTTCCTCTCTTCCACAGTTCTAGCAGCACTGTTTTTGGTTCCCGAATCACCACTGTGTCCTTTTAAACCACTGCTAGGCCTTTGTCGTAATACAATTTTAATTTGGTCCGCTTTGTCAAGGTCTGATTGTTTAGGTGGGACATCTGACAAACATAGTATTGGGTATTTAGTGTCAACCTTTTTCTTAACCATAATACGAGTTCCCTGGCCATCAACAACATTGTCCACCATAGTCAGCAGTCCATAATGCTGAGCAACTCGGTGTGCTGCAAGACGGAGGTATGAAGTAGGGAGGTGTGGAAACTCAAACTGCTCCAAATTTGGATTTTGCATAAACTTCTGAACATCGAGCTCCATGCGAAGAACTGGGGAATTGTCACAAGAAGCAAATTATTAAAACGCAATACTATGTAATGCACCAAGATGGCAAGAAACAATTCAAATCAAATATAATAAGTCAACTGCAATGGCCACTTCCACTAAGGGGCCATGTTCAATAGAGCTTATCTGAACTAAATTCAAATGTAATTATTAATTGAATTGACCTAATCCGAATTTAAAGGTACAACACTGAACTCATCAAAACTCATACGTACGGCACAGGTGTTAACTGGACTTATAGGTACTACGCTGAAAAAAAAGTACATTTACTTAAAAAATAACAATAATATTATCATTATCATTAATGCCAATTATAATAAAAGTAATAATCAACAACCCTAGGGAAAAAATTATTCTTACTTTTTTTTTGAATCATTGACGCTCATACAGCCATACTTAAATTTTTAATTATGTGAGTTAATAATTATTTTTCCCTCCATCCCAAATTAAACTTTCCTTTTGCTTTTTTGCAGGTATTAACTTTCAAGTAAAAGTGAAATTATTTGATTGAGATTTTATGCAAAGGAGAGTGAATTAATGTGGACTACACAATTCATTCCATAAAAAGGAATGAGAAGTTTCTTTTGGGACAACCAAAAAAAAGAAAGTGAAAAGTTTATATTGGGATGGATTATTATAATTAGTACTCTCTCCATCTCAAAATAATAATAATAAAAATATTTTTATCCTCCCCAAATGAAAGTCAATTTCTTTTTTGGTAAGGAATGTCTGATCATCCTTGTTTCTCTTTCAAATCAATTCCAAGATGCACTACTCACATCTTAACATTTTTCTTAAACTGGTATGAATTGAACTAAAAGGTATTCAACTGAATCAAATAGAATTGAAATGAAGTGCTATTGAACAGCCCCAAAGGGGCCTTACAAAATGCTACAAAAATATGATGGTGGCAGATTTGATTGAAATAGATAAAACAGTGAACCAACGAGTGTTGCCTAAAAATTGAAGAAAATAATCATCTGAAACCTATCTGGAGAACACAATTCAGTTAATTCCACTGAGCAATTGAAAGTTAACGACTTAGAGGGAAACAAAATCATGTATGTTTGAGGTAAAGAGTGACTAAAGATTCCAATTTCTTTCTTCCTGTTAGATCCAACAGTCAATTCATACAATTTTACATCTGTAGACAAAATGATTCAGCGGTGTCCAACTGTATCAGATCAAATCAAGCACCAACAGAACAAAAAAAGAATCTTTGAGGAGGATTACTCACTGGTGAGGCGATGACGAGGGTTTTGAAGAGCCTCCACGAGGAAGGGATCGACCATCGACATGTAAGCAGGAGTAGCAGGAGGAGCCACCTCCTTCTCCTCCGGCGTCAAGACAAAATTAGCGACAGCTGACGGAGACCCACCACCTGTCGCCATCGCCGCCGACGGTTATATCTTGAATAAAAAGGATATATTACAGATAATACAATTTTTTTAATAGATAAACAAGCTTCTTCCCTCTTCCCCTCCTGCCAAAGAAGAGAAGGGAAAGGGACGGAGAAGAAAAGAAGAAATCGAGATGAAATTAGGACTCCCTCGGAAAAAGGAGAGACAGATTGGGAATAAGAAACCCTTGCCTCTTATCACCAATCCAAGATGAGATCCCATTGAGTAACTCTTGATATTTTGCGGGGCCTAAAATATTTTCAGTCTTTTTTTTAAATTTTTTCAATCATTTTCTTAATCGGTCTCGCTAAGATAGCTCTTTTGAAAAGACCACTCTATATTAGAAGTTTGGATTGAACTAATCTTTTTTTTAAACTGACCCTAACTCGTCAGATCTTCCTAAGGAAAATAGATACCGTTTAAGACCACCAATCCTATCCAGTCCGATCGATAATCCAATTCAATCCAGTTCATAGTCAACATTGCACGCAAAGTATTTTTTTAAGCCCCGCTTATTTCCATAGCACAAAGCTACAAAGCAAAGCTAACTTTTAAAGGATGTTCCTATCATCACCCTTTCAGTAATACACTTTTGTCCTCTCATCCTCGCTTGTGATTTCTACTATTTATCTCTTCCTGTGTTAGATTATTAGATGAAAGTAAGGTCCTTTTCTAAGTTAAAGAGCTGCTTTTATTGTGCAAAAGGTTGTAAGGAGAAAGTCTTTGGTGAATTAAGTATTGGTTCTTCTATCATTATAATTTTTAATGTTATTTTTTATATGTAAAATCCATATCTTAAAATTTTATTCGGTCTTCGGTGCGATCCTGTTTGATCTAGATCGGTGGACCGGTTAGATTTTATTTCTTTAAATAATTTTTCTATATAATTTTGTAACTCCCTCTGTCTTAAAATCATCTTCCCACTTCTCTTTTTTCTGTCCTAAAATTATCTTCCCGGAATTGTGAAACTCATTCGACCAACGTACGACCAACGGGAGTCCCACACACTAAAAAGAGATGTGTAATGAATAGAATACCCTCACCTTTATTTTTTACGTCAACCGCCACTTATCTCCACATTTACGTCACCACAACCTTATATCCACTCTTCGCCTCCTCTCTCTAAACCTAGATCTAGATCTTCACCCTTCTCTCTATCTCTCCTTCTCGTCGTCTTTGCGTCTCTCCTTGTCTTCTTTGTGTCTCTCCTTCTCGCCCCCTCTCTATCTCTCATTCTCACACTCTCTTCGTGTCTCTGTAAATTTCTTCTCCTATAAAACTCTAGATCTAGTCTTCATCCCCCACATTCATATGGATTTTGTTGATTTTCATTATTAATCTCAGATCCATGAGATTGAGCTTCATTTTTAAAGGAGGAACTCTGAAGATTGGAGCTTTTAGAACGGAGAGAGAGAAAAAAGATTGATCCCTCAGACAGTGAAGAGGGAGAGAGCGAATCAGATGAGATTATCTCTTAAGTTGGCTTAGTCATCACCGATAGCCAATACGAGGAAAGCAAGGTGGAGGATGAGCAGATGCAAAGCTTTGTGAGTGTATCGAATGAATAGCAGCCCAGGTGTTGAGATGCGAAGCCACTCTAGTGTCACTAATGAGGGGGTTGGTGTGGCCCAAGAAATTCCAAGCTTGATTCCTCACTGAGAGTGTTGAGAAAAATATTATAGATATTGATGATAATGTATGTAGATTGTAATATGGACTTTAGGCCTCCCTCATAATTCAACGTAATTTTCTTTTGATTAGAAATTTTCTTAAAACCAAGTTATTGAGTTTTCAAATAAAGCTTGTGATATATCGTCTTGAGATTTGAGCATCCATGTTATGAAGATTTGTAAAAAACATATTATATGAAAATCGGAACTCTCACTCGAAGACATCAGAGACAAGAAAGGAATTCTCAGTGAAATCAATTACTTCGGAATTCTAAACTCCGGAAGACTCAAGTTCTACCCAGAAGTCTCGCAGCCATCCGTATGAAGGCTATCACTCTAGATTTCTATGTATCGGAAAACTAGCGCGCGCGGATCGCTCTGTTGGATATCTATCTCACCCGAAAGTCTCAACATCATTTTCCGCATGAAGGTTAAGCCATCCGGATCGGAAGACTAGTGCGAATCACTCTTTCTCACCCGGAAGTCTCAGGATGACTAATCCAGAACTGTCAAGCTAAGAGCCGGATTTCTCAAGATGGACCCGAACTCTCAGAACGGACAAGTGAGAAAAGACTTAGAAATTTATCTAAGTCATGAATGAAAGAATCCTACTCGTTGGCAAGGAAAAATCAATCTCTTGATTTTCTACGGCTATATTGAGGAAAACTTAGCTGATTCAAGAAAAAATGACAAGAAGACAAAATGTGGACTCCCAAATTGAAGAGCTCGGTCAGAATTCTTGAACAAGCACAAGAAGACAAAATTCAGAACGCCACTCAATAAAGAGCTACAGTCCAGAGTTCTTAAACAATAGTTAGAGGAGGGATTCTATGACAAAGGAATCCCTCATAAAACAATTGTTTATGTCCAAAAATTACTCCAAGGACAATCCCCAATCTCCCTCTTTGTTCAAATTGAAGCCACCAAATGCAACGGTTAATCTATTTCCTTCAACGGATAGATTAAACCATCCAGCCTATATATAGCTCCTATGGAAGATTGAAGAAATATACCAATGCAACAAATGGATTATTGAATCTACCATCATTCACAGTTAGCCTAAAGCTTGATAAAGAGAGAACTCTAAACTCATTATCCAGAAGCAAACTCATCCTTCTTCCAAAGAGCTAAAGTGAAAATACTTGAAGGTTTTTTTGCCTCAAGTACCACACCACGTTGAAGGATACAATTTTAATCAAACATCTTGATTAAAACAGGGTACATCAGCTTTCCTACAAGCTGATCTTACAAGTCCTATTGTTCGGACCTTGCAGTTGTTGGAGAAGTTTGACCTTCGAAGGAACAACAAAGCCAACACGAGTGCAGTAGCAATATTGGCCTTGCGAAGATATACCGTGCAAAAATTCACAAAGTTTAATTGTTGGTTCATATTCAACAACCAACTACATAGTGGATTTTGAGGACGTAGAAGGATTACCCCACCTTCGAACCTCGTTAAAGTTTGCGTGTCTCTCTCTCTTTATCTTTACCTACTTTGTGTTTATATTAATTGTGAAACTAACCAATCCATATTGATTACTGCTCCAACAATCCACCAACTTCTGCACACAATCTAAGTTCTCAAGAACTTTAGATTAACAATCGTTTCACGTTTTCAAAAAAGAAACGAAAAAGTTTAAACTTATAAAAAAGTCTATTCACCCCACCCCCCCTCTAGACTTTGTATCTCACTACTTAGGGAACCACTAGAGATTGCGAATGAGAAGTAAAGAGTACGAGAAGCAAAAAAGATGATTAAGGTTGGTTACTAAAAGTAAAAAGGTTTGGTTTTTTATAGAGTATGACAGTGGCGCTGTTTTTTTGTTTTGGAGGGAAATGTTTAGAACTTTCCCCCCAAAGTGAATTTCATGCTAAATGATGAAACATTTTAGATTTTGAAATGCTTATAAGGGAACTGTCCTGATTTCATGTTCAATTGTACTTGTATTAGAGAATAAAAATGAATGTTGCGTGTGTTTTATTTTTTCCCCAGATTTCCTTCATTTTTTTCAAAACCAACTTAGATTTTTTTCATTTTTTTGCATTTTTAGTTGGAGGGACAAAATTGGAAGTTAAAGCCAAATTTTACAATCCCTTAAAAATGGCCTAAAATAAAATTGGGGAGATGATTTTAGGACTAAGGGGTATGGATTTATAAGTTGTTTCTTATACTTAAATTTTATTTACTTAAACACTAATTTTTTTTCAAATGCTATGCTTTTAATTTTTAACATAATTTTTTTAAAAAATATCCAGTTCAAAATAATATACCAATTCTAATGATATCTAAATATTTTTTTAGTATGAAAAGTATGAAAAAAATAAGCAATAAATTTATATTAGCAATCTAGTACATTTCAAACTTTTGTACCAATACTACGTAGTATAACTTAAGTTTGTACGTTATCATTGATGAACCTCTAATCAACAAAAACAAACATTCTAAAAAATCTCATGAACAAAAACAATAAAAAATGTGTCCGCTTACCAAAATAAACTGAAAACAGAAAAAAATATCACAGAGAGTAAAATGCAATAAGAATAAGAATATTCCCTATGTAAAATAAAAATTACTAATAATTTTTTTGTAAGCCAGATGAAGGATATATTTTATTTAAAGTTTGTTAAAAAAATTAAAAACAATGGTGTTTTACAATGTTTAGTGTATGTTACACATTAAAAATTAATTATATTAATATTTTTGTGTAATTAAATACTTTAAGTTAAACAAATAAAATCAAATTAAAAAATAAAAAATTACATTTATTCAGTCCGGTTATGGTCCGGTCTGGGTTTTACCGGTCTAATCCTGTGCCGGTCCTTCCTTTGATAGGTCCGTATTTAGTCCACGAAATGTCTCTTATTTGGTCCTAGTCCTATTTCGGTCTGAGCTGATCTAGTTTTAGCTCGATGAACACCCCTACCGGTAACCCTCTCGGCCATGTCCATGAAAATTATGATGCCCTAAAGGTGTAAAAGAACATTGTGAATATCCGAATAAGGAGAAGGGGCAAATTCACCAAACTATGATATTTTCTCAAGTGTAATGTTTAATTCTTCTGAGAGAAACCATGGAGAGACTTGATTAATTGTGACAGTTTCAATATTAGCCTGAATGTTTTGCTTCAAAGAAACATAATCCGCAGGGAGATCACGCAAAACATATAAAATAATATCTTGTTTATAGAGATTCTCATGTGTAAGCTTTAAAGTGGCAACAATATTAAGCTCACCATCAATATAGGGTTGCATAGATTCATTGCCCTTTTGGAGACTATGAAGATGTTCCTTCAACTAAAAAATATGTGTACGAGATAATGAATTATACCTCTTTTCAAGATGTTCTAAAATTGCGGTAGTCGAAGGAAGAGTATGTATATGTGTTTGAACCGTAGGAGAAACTATAACCAAGAGACATGCATAGATTTGGGCATCAACAATCATCATAGTCTCATGTGCTAGATTAGCCTTCATGACAGAGGATCATCTTTTGCTGGTGCCGCAGCTTTTTCATCCAGAAGTAGGGGTGGAGGGGCCGATTGTGTGCCATCAACAAAGCTAAGAAGGCGGTGAGCCATGAGATTAGCCCGTGCTGTAGTTGACTATGAGGGGTAGTTTATGTCATCATGTTTGGCCGGCATAAGAGATTAAAGATTGCGGACAAATAACTTGAGACCTATAGGGAGACGATCCATAGTGTCATTTGATGAAGGTGCCATGGTAGGGTGGCGATCCTTGAGAGAAGGGTGGCGATCGATGGTAAAGGAAATGTGGCAATCGTCAGGATCAAAACCCTAGCTAAATTTTTTACTTTCTCGAGCGATATTAACAGGGAAGGAGAAAAAAGAGGATGATGCTCTTATACCATTTTGAATAAAAGAATTATGTATTTTACTCGGGAAATTATGAGAGTACAATAAGTTGGTATATATAGATGGACATCGTGACATTATTTAAGGTTCTTCCATTATAGCAGCTGACTTGTATATTAATACTACCATGAATACAAATACTAGTAGTATTCCCTTACAAAAACATTAAAATTAAATGCACACAAACTTTTCCCATCTGAGCTCATTGTAAGAGTTTGTTCTCTTTGTGTGATTTCTTTGATTCTAATCTAAATTTATTAAGGTCTTACTATACTTGATTTGAGTATCTAAATCGTTATCTGATATGATCTAAATTGATTTGATCCCATTGCAATTAAAATTTAAAAATTAACTTTGATTTGAATCGATTTTCTCCAATATGATCTAATCTCACTATTTCTTGATGATTAATGCTTGGGTATACCAATTTATACCTCATTTTGTACATCACTTTATCATTCACCAAACATTTCTTATCTATATTCTTCAATTTTCTATCTATCTCATGAGAAATGTATAATGCTTCTCCGTTCCTAAATGATTTACACACTATACTATTCAAAAATCACGGAGACTTTTGTTTATTTGTGTGATTTCATTGAATATTTGATGAAATAAAATATTCTTGTCATCTCTTATTTTGTAGAATTTTTGATGTACTTTTTAAATATGTAAGTTTTATATTTTATTTTCTATCCCAATCTTTAAATAAAATGATTTGAAAAAATTGAAGATTTTACTTCATTTTGCGTAACAGTGCAAATGATTTAGGGATGAAGGGAGTAGATTATTTCGATGGTGTGCAAACTGGGGTACAAAAATGTGTTGCCCAAGTATTTTTGTCTTTCCATCGGGTTGTTTGGGGTACACCACTAGGTGAACATCACTTGCACACAAAGTGTGTTACAAACATACAAAGAGAATAATTATTTGTGCAATCCGTAAATAGTTATTGTCTGTGTATCTGTAACACACTTGGTGTGAAGTGGTGTAAACCAAGCTTTGATTTTTTATCTGATCTCCCACTTAGATTCTAAATCACATAAAGCGAAAGTAAGTTGGAGTGCGAGCGCAGCTACAGGTGCGCGAAACTCTAAAATATAAAAAAACACAAGCACAAACGTGCCTTAAAACTTCAATGAAAAAAGCGCACACACACAGATATATATATATATATATATACACACACATATATACATATATACATATATATATATATATATCAGAATTACTCATATTTTTAATAATATTAACAATACTCGTTTCGAATAATATATTACATGCACACTATCTTTTTTTGACCTCTAAATTTGTATTCTTTTTAGTTTTTAGGGCTTGTGTTCTTCAACTTATCTAATTGATTCTGATCTAGTTTGATTAAGTTCGGATCTGATCTGATTATAGTTATATTTAAAATTGTTTTTGGTTTTTTTTATTCGAATAAGAATAAGTAATAAGTAAGAAAATAAGTTGAAGCGAACCAGATCTTAATTATCAAGTTTAATGTTGATCATGCATAATTTAAATATAAACAAATGGAGTATGTCATTAGGCAAGAGTTTGGAACTACTGAAATCTTATATATTTAGACAACAAAGTGAGATAATTTCAATGGATAAAATTAGAAAAAATTCTTAAAATTTAAGGAAAACAATTTATAAAAAAATTTGAACAAGAAAAAAAGAAAAAGAAGTAATTATTAGAGAAAATGCAAAATAGAAATGAAAACCAAATTCTGATTTCTTATTATATGTTCTCTAAAAAAGAACATGTACTTTAAAAAATTTTAATATAATAATGGACTAGGCTTATGAAGTTGATCAACGTTTAAATAAAAGTTATACAGGGTATTTTTTATTCAATGTGGAGTATAAAAAGGATTTTCTAATATTTTTTTCCCAAACAACTACATTTTTATTTTCTATGTAATGTAATTTTTATTTATTTGATAATTAAAATTTATTTAAGTTGGTTAAAAAAATTAAAATGGACATACCGAGTGTATTTTAAGATTGAAAACATATTTAATAAGATATGAGTAAATTTACTTTTTTGTTACCAAGTAAAATTTACTCTTTTTTTATCATCTGAATAAAGATAAATTTATTTTTTCTTTTCTATGAACAAGCACCACACACTCATTTATCATAAATTTAATCTTACTATCTCTTGTTATGTAGAGTTTTTCATGCATTTTTTATTATATAAATTTTATTTTTTGAATTATTCACACTTACAATCAAATAAGTTAAATTGAAAAAAAGTTAAAATAAAACTTTATACTCCCTCCGTCCCTAAATAGATTACAATTTTTTTTCTCTCTCCTCTCGATAATTTTTGTTTGTTTACGCGATTTCATTAAGTATTTGATAAAATAAAATATTCTTGTCACCTCTTATTTTGTAGAGCTTTTGACGTAATTTTTTAATATGTAATTTTTATATTTTATTAATATACCAATTGGTAAATAAAATGATTTCAAAAAGTAGAAAATTTACTCTATAACCCGCAATTTGTAATCAAATTGGGCAGAGGGAGTATGTTCTAACATGTAAGAGTAAGATCAATGAAGGATGAAAAAAAATAAAATCAGTCAAGGGAAGGGGAGAGTACGTAACTTAGGTGAAAACTTTAGGTGCGCGTGGTTACACGTCATACGGTAACGCGTTTGGCTCACTCCCTGTCCCTTTATCTAGAAATCATACGAGGGCAAAAATGCAAAACCTCACCGCTTTGTCTAGCGAAAAGAAGAAAAAAAAACGCTTATCTACATCTCTATGTGATCCATTGCCGGAAGCTTCCCGGACATGGCCAAAACAGAGGTGGCTGATCCACCACCGCCGCCGCCCTCAAATCTCAATCTCACCGCCTCCACTTTCGATTCCGGTGATTTGGATGACGCCCTCCCAATTCCGGAAGCCACACCCTTTTTCCCAAAAGACGAGAAGATAATGGACGACTTCGACTTCGATTTCTCCTTCGACGATTTTTACCTCCCCTCCGGCGACTTTGATTCTCTCAATCACGATTTTCTGCCAGACTCGCTCGATCCGGTCGCTTGTGACCCGGTCCGGGAGCAGCACATAGGTCCCAATCGTTACGGGCAACCGGGCGCTGGTTGTGATCCGATCGGAGCATTTAAGAATTCTGCTTGCATTTTCAAGTCGTCTTCTTCAGAATTGTGCCATTTCTCGACCGATCAGATTGCAGGAGATGCGGTGCCTCTGAATCCATTCTCGCCCGAGCTGGACTCCAATGTTTCTGAGATTTTGTTTCTGAATTCTCCAGAACCCGACCAGAATTGGGGGGATGTCTCCGGGTACCTGAATGTTACATCCCCCGAGTCGAACGGGTCTAACCCGGATGCTTCTCAACCGTCCTGGAATGAAAACCAATGCTCAAGTGGTGGCGTGGTTTTGGATTGCCTCTCGCCAGAATCTCAGGGTTCAGGCAACTCCGGTCTCAAAGCATCTCCTACACTGGATCTTCTGTCCACAGACTCGGAGGATAAATCGGTAAATTCCTCAACAGACTTTGGTAATGCTAATTCAATAAAGACTGGTGTGGTTGATCAGAAATTCAAGTTGGGGGATGCAAATGCTAATAGCACTAATGTTAACAACTGTAGTAGCTCTATGTTGAAGAGGAAAAAACAGAGTGAAGAGACTAACAATGTAGAGTGTAGGAGTAGCAAATATAGAAAACCAGCTGACTGTAACAACAATGAGAATAACAGCGAGAGCAATCGTGCTAATATCACTAGCGAAGAGGAAGATAGAAGGAAGACAAGATTAATGAGGAACCGGGAGAGTGCCCAGCTCTCAAGGCAACGCAAGAAGCATTATGTTGAGGAGTTAGAGGATAAAGTGAGGAAAATGCATTCAACCATCCAAGATTTGAATGCCAAGATATCTTACATGATGGCTGAAAATGCTAGCTTAAGGCAGCAGGTGGGTGGTAAGGGAGTTGCTATTACACCCCAAATGCCGCCCCCACCCCCAGGAATGTATCCACCTGTTATCTATCCGTGGATGCCATGTGCGCCACCATATATGGTCAAGCCACAAGGGTCACAGGTTCCATTAGTTCCGATTCCAAGGTTGAAGCCACACAAAACAGCCTCTGCACCAAAGAATAGTAAGAAATCAGAGAATAAGAAGCAAGAGGCAAAGACTAAAAGCGTTGCTAGCATTAGTTTCATTGGTCTGTTGTTTTTTATATTTATATTTGGAGGATTGGTCCCCTCACTGAACGTAAGGTACGGTGGGATGAGAGAGGCATTCACACGGAGGAGCAATGATTATACTGTTTATACATATGAAAAGCACCCCGGAAGAGTGTTGGCTACTAATAATGGAAGTGGTCGTGGGGAGAGTTATGGCGGGAAGTATTTTAGCAACATAACTCATTCTAGTGGAGGGCAAGATCACGGTGGAGGAGGAAAGAGACATAGTGAGAAAGGCAAAGATGAGTTTGTTCAATCGGGTAATGGTAGTTCACCTCTAGCAGCCTCCTTATATGTTCCGAGGAATGACAAGCTCGTGAAGATCGATGGTAACCTGATCATCCATTCTGTTCTGGCGAGTGAGAAAGCCATGGCGTCTCACGGAAGTGATGAAGAAAAGGGGAGGAGGCAAGAGACAGGTCTGGCAGTTCCTGAAAACATGGCCTCTGCCATAACGGGTGGAAGACATCCTCAACTGTATCAAGGTGCAGCTGAACGTCATTTCGGTTCTGATTCTATCAGAAAGGACAACATGAGGTCAACAGGGGCTGCTGATGGTATGCTACAGCAGTGGTTCAAAGAAGGCCTTTCTGGTAATTTTTAAAAAGCAACACTCCTAGGTCCTAACTTACTGTCATTTCAAACCGTCCTACAACTCTTTTTATCATGCGTCAATTTAGCCTTATTAGCCAGTTTTCACCTCACACAAACTTCTTGAGTTATTTCATCATGCTTGCAGAATTACTGATATTTTAAAATCAAACTATTTAGAATTGCTGATATATAACCATACAGGCTGCCTGTGTTTCTTTCAAACGGATGGTCTGTTTATGCATGGTTCATGCCACATTGTGTGTTGCAGGACCAATGTTAAGTTCAGGAATGTGCACGGAGGTGTTCCAGTTCGACGTGTCATCTGCCATAGTTCCCGCTAGCTCCATGAGAAACGTGTCTCAGAATGCCAAAAAGGGGAGAAACAGAAGGATCCTTTCGGTTCCTCTTTCCCCATCATCTCACAACATATCCGGGGAAAGGAAGGGGGGAGGAGATGAGCTGAAAGGGAACAATTCGCTGGCTTCATCAATGGTTGTCTCTGTGCTTGTTGATCCGAGAGAGGGTGGGGACGGAGATGGCGATGGGGTGATGGGGAAGAAGTCACTCTCTCGGATTTTCGTGGTCGTTTTGGTGGACAGCGTCAAGTATGTGACTTACTCATGCATCCTTCCGCTGAAGGGATCTGTCCCTCATCTGGTGACTACCTGAGCAAGTGTTTGGTAAGTTAAACGCACCCGAAACAATTTTGTAGAGAGCTCGCGGTGGGATGATGATGATGATGATTATAGAGAGAATGACACAATTGGAATACTTTAATAATACTCCGTATGTTATAATAACGAAGCCTTTGAGCTTCTTCTTTGTATCAGCTTCTTATGTACTAAATAGTACCCCTCGAGCTTAGCTTGAGGCAGCCATTTAGTTCTAACTTTGTGTACGAGAACAAATGTAATTTCCATTGTCTTTTTTTTTCCTTTTTCAGAATAGAACATGTACTCGTAATTGAATTTTCCTTTTCATTTTCGTTTCGACCTCTAAACTCTTCTTAGTACTTCACTTTACTGTCTCAGTGTTGGATCTAGCAATCCAACATTGAATAAGAATTAAGAATATTGGATTTCACGATATGGTGCGTATTGGATGGATTTCGGTCTCTCTTCCTTCAATGAGGAATGTCTATTCATACAAAGTAATGCTAGAGTCATAAACAAAATACTCACAAAATTCACAATCTTACTTTTTTGCATTTAAATATTTATTTTTTGATTATTTGAAATCATTATTTGGTGCCTTTATTTTACATATTTGGTAAGATTGTGAGTTTTGTAATTGTTTTGTTTGTGACTCTAGCATTACTCATTCATACATGGTGATGGATTAATGATAGAAATACTTACTCCCTCTTGGCTGTCTCCCAAATTACCAAATACGGAGTATTAATTACTCCGTATGTTGGAGTATTGTTATTGTGTGAGGAGAGATAAGAATAATAATAATAATAATAATAATAATAATAATAATAATAATAATAATAATAATAATAATAATAAAGAATAATGATGAGAGTGTGGTTATTGTAAGGATTGATTTATCCCTTGGGGCCTTGCATGCATTGGCGTATGAATGAAGAAAAAGAAAAGATTGAGTGGTGGAAGGTAGCTAGTGAATATACCAATAGTTGGTATGAAGTAATTTTTTTCCTCTCTTCTTCTTTAATGTAGTATTTGATGTAGTAGGTTGTTGTGTTAGCTTATACTCTAATATAAAGAGAGGACTTGAGTCTCTAAATTGTGTGTGCTTGTTCAAGAGAGTAGTTCCTCTTGTGAGTTGTGAAAAAATGTCAGTTGTTGCATTATTGGTGTATTGATTTACTCTAAATGATATTATAGTAAAAAGTTTAATCTGAAAGGATTGCGGTTTTTTCTTAGTTCAGAGTAAATTCCACGTAAAAATATTCTGTGTTGATCTTTTATTCTTTCTTCACATTTTCCTCCAATATTTATTTTGAGTGTTGTTCTTTGAGTGTAATATTCCCAACAATTGGTTTGGAGCTTGGTTAGTTATCTGGAGGGGAGTATTACCTTTTTTCGAGTGAGGGAGGATTTTGTGTCTGAAAAAATGACGGACAACATACATAAATTTTAAATTCCTTTGTTTGATGGGAAAATGAATATTATGGTGTGGAAGCGTATCGGGGTATCTTTGTTTTCATTCTTCTAGGTTAGTGATGGCCAAAACCCACCGAGGTATCTTTGTTTTCATTCTTCGATGCCACCAAATCAAAGACCATGTCTTTTTTTTTTTTGTTTGTTTCAAGTACAAAAAAAAAAAAAGAAGGAAAATGTTCCCTTTAAGGTGGCGAATTGAAGCAAAAAATACTTTCTGACTTGCTTCCCTAAGAGAACAAACCTAGGGTTACCTGGGAGTTTCCTCTTGTCAAAGCTCGATCAAGAGGACTCCTCAATGGAAGACGTTGAAGACTCCTTTGGCAAGAGGAGTTCTGGGTAAGGAAGCTGTGCCAGGTCGTTTCCTCTGATGATGAAAACAACAACAACAACAACCCAGTTAAATCCCACAAGAGTAGGGTCTGGGGAGGGTGTGTGTACGCAGACCTTGCCCCTACTCGAAAGTAGAGAGGCTGTTTCCAAAGAGACCCCCGGCTCAACGTCGAAAGTTGCATTGCTTGACTAACTGCTACTTCATTAATTAAAAAAGCGCAAATAGTTTAGAGATCCATTTTGATTTATTCCATCACACCCAAACTTAGATTAATCAGAGGATGGTGTTTGAATAGGCCCCCGCCCAACTGATGGAGGGCAGCCGGAGGAGAAGTCTATCTCAAGGGAAGCTACAAATCAAACCTAGTCCTGGAACCGGGTCGGGCGGTGGTGGTGGGTTAGGGGTATGAATTATCAATTTTTAGAATGGAACACCGTAACGATTCCAAAGGGAGCCTAAATCATAGAATGACATGGGAGGCTAATGTCAGCCGTGCGCTCCCTTTTAAACTTTTGTATCACAGTCTGTCCCATTTGATATTGGTACAATTATGGTTTGGAATAAAAAAACAAACTACATATAAAACACGATAAATGGTAGCATTACGATTCAATATAGTACCATCTTAGTTCAGCTATTTTCCCCACACTTATCATTTGCAATACTATAACCAAGATATTCTCTAACATCATTTCAAAACAAATTTTAACACTCCGATTTATTATTCTTTATATTTTCAATATCATTTAAACATTTTTTAATTTTGTAAACTCAAAATGAAATATTCTTTATGAGAGAGATGAAGTATTATTATTATTATTATTATTATTATTATTATTATTCAACACTTTTTTGTTCAGATTTGAATGAATCTCATTCGAACGAATCTGATAAACTTTGAATTGAATCTAAATCAAATTATACGGAGTAGTAAAAGTAAGTAATAAATAAAAAAGGTTAAATTTATTTTCAGTCCCTGTATTTATTGTTAAGTCTACTAATAAAACTTTTTGTTTTGAAAGTATTCCTTAAACGTAGTAAACACTTCTACTTTGTTGACATAACACATTTATTTCATACTCAACATCATAATCTTGCATTCCTAATTAACTTAGATACAATTCTCATGCGATAGATTGTGTTCTTTATTGAATTAAATCTCTAATTTCCATATAACGATATTCTCAAGATATTTGGGGATTGGAGTCTGTTGGATATGTAGTATGAATAGGAACATAATTTAGTGCATGCAAATTGTGTCGGAGGTAGTAGAAGTGCATGGCTATGATATTTAGTATGAAATAAATGCGTTATCTCAACAAATTAAAAGTAGAAGTTATGTTTAAAAACCATTTTAATAAAAAAAATTTTGTAAGGATGAATTAGCACATTTTTTTTTACAAAGACCAAAAACAAAAATGAGCTATTTTACATGGCCTCAATGAGACAAGCCCAATACTTAAGATTTTTTTTTTTTCGTTTTGATTATTGGGGTGCCCGCATCGAAGTATTACTGTGCCATAGTCCAATTTCCAAAATTCAAAGCCCAGTCCGTTAAAATGGAGGTAGAATTAAATACGGAGTAGTTTCCTTCCGCACCGCAGCACCTCAGTTCCCGCCCTCACTGCCGCCGCCCCTGCCGGCAGCGCCGCACGCCTCCTCCTCCTCCTCATCGTATCCTCGAGGCGCCGCCGTCCTGGCCTCACCACGCCGCCCGCACCACAGCAGCGGCTCCATGCCTCTGTTCAGCTGTCCAGGTATTTCAAGTTTTTGTTTTTGTTTTCTAAAAATTGAATAAAATAAATTATTGGTTTGCAGTTTGCACTTTACAGAATAGGTTTATGTGTTGTTTATTTTGTAGGTTACCATTTTATTTTCCGTATAGTATTTCTATTTTGTATGGAATGAGATTGTTTATTTAATTGTTTTTAGACATTTTAGCAATTCATTTTTGTGTAAAATGATATTAATGTGGATTGTTGAATCAAATTGTTATGTGTGAGACAAAATCGAGAAAAAGAGACATTTAAAATATGGAATATGATAATTGAACCAAGATATAAACTATGATGCACTCAGTAAAATGTAATTTTAATTTTGGTTTAAAAATCATTAAAATAGTTTATTGTATTATTGTTTTTAGAAAAATGGAGAATGTTTTGAAACAGAATATTCCATCAACGTTTAAATAACTAAGTTATGATGTACTTTGCAAAATATATTTTTCCATTTAGAAATTTTTTTATTTAATTATTTGAAAGCTTGTTCAAGACAAAATTTATTATTTTATTATCATTTCACATTGTCCCCAGATCACTGTATTCTTCACCACTCTATATGGATGTGATTTGCAAACTGCCAGCAGCTATTGTGTTTGAAATTACAACAAATTGGTTTTAATGTTAAGGAATCATGCATGCAGGCATTGTTTATAACCATGAGTTCAAAACTAAGAGGAGGACTTTGACAGGGAATGGCGATATGATTGAGGAGACTGTTCTAGTAACTGTGATTAATAATGGAGATGATTTAAGTTCTTTAGCTGGAAACCCTCCTACTCCAGCTAAGAAATGTTGTGAAGAAGAAATATGTTGAAAGAGGAGCTTTGCAAACTTCACTATGAGGATTTTTTTTCTTGCCGTGGATAAGCTTCGTGGGGTGTTAGTTGATGCCGAAGAGCTCAAAGGTGAACTTGCAACTGATAACTTTATATTACAAGAAGTTCAAGTTCGAAGAGCTTCGTTTTTGAGTCTTAGTCCATTAAAATGAATGTTACTGTGTTACGTAGCCATTGAGATGTGTCCACATGCTGGAGCTTTGTGTCAAACGCAATATCCACATTTCTGAAGGTCTGTTTTACCCTTCTTTGAACAATCATGTGAAGAAGATCAGGGTGTTCATTGAAGCAAGAATACTGTTAATAAAGTAACACATTGAGAAGAAAGTTTGCACTGAAGTGAATGAGTAGATGATTTTGTTAAGAAGTGAGTATTTGGATATCGACGTCCTCAATGAAGCAATACTTGATATGATTCACGGTGGCACAATTGGTGTGTCTGAGGCAATGCAAGCGAGTGATTATTTTCTCCAACCCCAACAATGTGGGATACCTGTCTGTTCGGTTGAAATACCTCAAGGCAGTTTGACTGCCAAGACTATTCTAAAAAAAACTTCAAGTGATGCTGCATTTCTTGCTTTATTAAGTTTGGTGAATCCGAAGCTGGATGAGTTCATGTCACTTGCTGAAAATGTGAACTGGACAGTGAAAGATGCTCCTCTGGAAGGAAATGAACATATTAATGATGTGCTTATTTACCTAGACACTCTTATGTCCACTGTTCAACAAATTTCACCCCTCAATGCTCTATATAATGTTTGGAGCAGTACACTTGAGCATATTTCCAACTCAATTTCTTGGCATCAATGGGGATTTGATGGCATTAGAAGCTTCTGCAGACGAGAAGTTCCATAGCACTGGGTCGAGTGAGATATATATGGTGAAGGAAGTTTTTGAGGATGTTTGATAGAGGCTAGACAATTGATAAACCTTCTATTGAGCAGTCTACCAAAATTTATTACCACATTGATGAACTATGGAGCAGTGCTGTAAGTATATACCACTGTTTTATTAAATACACCCCTATTTTATTACCATTACCTGAATGTCTTTTGTATCAAGCAGAGGCATCCCTTGCAATGTCATGTTAGTCAAAATAGAGTGCATAGTGATACTCACTCCAGGGGTGTCATCTGTAACAACAAAAAAGACCAACAGGAATGAATATAGCACTAACGAAAACATAAGTAGGTTGTGTGGAATTTTCAAATACTTCAAACAAAGACATTCAGGCAAGTATTTGTTGATGCAGGCTTAGAGTTGTTGCTGCAGCTACTCCTCCACCTTTGATCCCCAAATTTATGGGGTTGGAGCCGGTGACTACCGCTGAGCTCGCACTGAAAATTGGGAATCTCTTAACGCCACTGCCACCACCCATGTGCTGCAGGAGGCGCCTTCGAGTTCATTGGTTTCCTCGGCCGGCAAGTGGTGAGCGACGACCACGAGGCAGCGTCATGCAATACAACTTATTTTGCTACTTGTGCAAAGCTGCTGCTTCCGCCTTTCACACTAATACTCATTGACGCCATAGGAACCTCCGCTGACTTCCGCCACTCATTGGATGCCCTACGAGCAGTCTCTTCTTCACGGTTCCATTGCAACGAACAAGGCCTCTCCCCCGACCATCTTCTATGTGTGATGATGGCTCAATGCAAAGTCGATCAAACTGATGAAGGTTGCGTGATGAGGGAAATCTTTTCTCTGGCATCGTCATCCTCCAACCAACGAGGGAGACTGGCCATCAGAATTCCATGGACACTCCGAAGAACAGACTAACGCTATATGTGCCTCAAGGAATTTGAAAGAGAAATGAAAATGATAGTATTCATGGTGGTTGTAAGTCAACTCAGAACACTTTTTGCTGAATATGTCATATTTTTCTGCAACATTCTCACATACAAATAAATCGTAGGAGTGTGAGTTTCAGAGGAGATTCAAGAGTGTGGAGATGAGAAGATGCAAATTCAAGGCAAAAGTCATTGTTCATTTTACTTCTCTGACATGTGTTTGGACTTCATTCGAATTAGAACAAGCAAAGACAATTTGACTTTCGACAAGTACGGGGACGAAGAAGAGTTCTCTCTACTTGTTTTATTGCCAAACACAAAACAACTTCCAGAAGCATTTGAGTTGATATCTGCTTCTAATCTTAGTCTTTATACATACCATAAGAACGGCATACGCCTTGCATGATGTGTTGATTTGAAATATTCTCTAATGATAAAATAATAGAAGAATCAACAGTAATTCTCTCATCATCTTCCTTCGTTCATACAAGAATTACTGTTAATTTGTGATTAGAGTTCATCATCTTCGAAAAAGAGTTCTCTCTAAACACAAATTAATAGTAATTCTTGTATGAACGAAGGAAGATGATGAGAGAATTACTGTTGATTCTTCTATTATTTTATCATCAGAGAATGTTCCAGATCAACACATCATGCAAGGTGTATACCGTTCTTATAATACGTATAAACTATAAAGACTAACATTAGAAGCAAATATCAACCCAAATGCTCCTGGAAATTGTTTTGTGTTTGGCAATGAAACAAGTAGAGAGAACTCTTTTTCGTCCTCGTACTTATCGAAAGTCAAATTGTCTTTGCTTGTTCTATTTCGAATGGAGTCCAAACACATGCTTAGAGAAGTAAAATGAACAATGACTTTCGCCTTGAATTTGCATCTTTCCATCTCCATACTCTTTGACTCTCCTCTTGAACTCACACTCGCACGGTTTATTTGCGCGCGAGAATGTTGCAGAAAAATATGGCACATTCAGCAAAAAGTGTTCTAAGTGCCTTGAAACCACCCTGAATAGCTGAACGCTAAATGATGTGTGATCCCATGCATGCTTTGTCTCTTCATTACTTCCCCCTTTTTCCTAATTCCATTTGTGTGCTAGTATGAAGAAGAGAAATAATGCTGCCACTGATTTTATGTAAATTCATACTCTAGTAATATCACAACAGATTTTTATTGAAGTGCAGTGTATTTCAAGATATGCATGTTCATCATGCCATCATGGGCTTGTGACTAAGCGCCTCCACCAGACAGATATCATTCCACATTCAAAGGTAAATTCATCCATTACTCTTGCTAATCCCTCTGGATCAAATTAAGAAAATCTTTCATAAATCCATTATAACATTTTAATTTATTTATTCCTTCACATTTCTTGATGAGTTAGGGTTATAAAAGAAACTGTATTTTCAATGAATAATGTCTCTTTTATAGAAGTATAACATCACTTCATTATAACCAAGTGTTCAAGTCCTACACCAATGTATTACCATTTGAGTTTTCTTTGTAAGCTGAACCTATCTCTATAATTTAATCTGAACCGTTGGTTGGTGATTGAGTGCCTTTTTTGAAATACATGCACCTACACTACATAATATGACAGATGGAAATAAACTAATTCTTGTTATGGACACATGTGTGGTTTGTAAAGAGCTAAGCAAATCCAATTTGAAAGTGTGAAAAGGGGAGAGGGGGGCCGGTGGAGCCTGCATTTTGGCTGCATTATACATTATATTCCAAGTTGGGAACCCACTCAGAAGCAAATGGTTTTGTCATCACTTTTTTCATCCTCTGGGGTAGGGATGACAGTGAAGGGGTAAAGTTGGGTACCGCCCCATCCCATTTGGAACGTAGTGTTAGGCCAAGGGGTGTGGGAGCTGGGATCCGCCATCCCGAGCGCCACGTCGGACTGGGATCGGGGGAACAATCCCCCCCTCCCCCTTGACCATCATCGGCGGGCTCCCTTTCTCCGCCATCCCGTTGATTTTATTGTTTTTTTCCCCATAGAATCATTCGAAATATACTCCGAGTTTCTTCAAATTTGTGATATTATATTTTGAGGGTATATTTTGTCTATTTAGGGGATAGAATTGAAAGTACCTTACTTTGACAAATTGGAAACATTTTATTAAAATTTAGGAAAAAATCATCCGGGATGCATAATAGTACCAATTTAATTGTGATGCATAATAATACCAATTTAGCTGAAATTTGCGAGTTTTTGGTCACCGTTAAGTTGTTAATGGCTGTTAACGGAGACGTCTGTTTTGCGCAAAAAAATGAAAGTTGAGATTATTTTTGATGAATTTTTGGTTTTTAATTTTTTTGAAATTTTTATTCAAATTTTTAAAATTACTTTCTACCTCCGTCATTTCTTTTTCATTTTTTAAAGAATAGTCGTACTTTTTTAAAAAATAAAAATAATAGATATAAAAAAATTATAGAAAAAGAGAAAAATAACTAAAACAATACAAAATTACTGAAACAAATAAATTAGTCAATAAAAACTAACTTGAACTGATAAGAAATAAAATAAAAATATTCGAAGTAGTGGGTTTAATATTTTATGCACTATACATATTAAAGTATTAATGTATCACTTCTTATTTTGTTGAAAAAATATTTAGAATAATTCCAACTTTTAGCGGCCCGCCTATTCTTTCAAAAAATAATTAGTATATCAAGACTACTCGATTTTTCAAAAATAATCTTACCTTTACATGTGATGCATAATGATACCAATTTAACTGAAATTTACGAGTTTTGGGTCACCGCTAAATTGCTAACGGAGGTTAACGAAGACGTTTGTTTTGCGCCAAAAAAAAATGAAAGTTCAGATTATTTATGATGAATTTTTGTTTTTTAATTTTTTTTAAATTTTAGTTTAAATTTTTAAAATTACTTTCTACATCCATCATTTCTTTTTCATTTTTTAAAGATTAGTCTTACCTTTAAAAAATAAAAATAATAGATATAAAAATAATAAAAAAGAGAAAAATAATTAAAACAATACAAAATTAATGAAATAAATACGGTAATCAATGAAAACTAACTTGAAACCGATAAGAAATAAAATAAAAGTATTCAAAGTAGTGGGTTTAATATTTTACGCATTATACAAGTATTAATGTACCACTTCTTATTTTCTAGAAAAATATCTAGAATAATTCCAACTTTTAGCGGCTGGCCTATTCTTTCAAAAAAATAATTAGTACATTAAAACTCTAAATAGTATGTAAAATTTTAAACCCACTACTCCATATATATTTATTTTATTTCTTACTAGTTTCAAATTAGTTTCTATTGATTACCTTATTTATTCATTAATTTTGTACAGTTTTAGTTATTTTCTCATTTTCGTTATTTTTTATATCTATTATTTTTATTTTGTTAAAGTAAGGCTAATCCTTAAAAAAAGAAAAAGAAATGGAGGTAGAAAGTAAGTTTAAAAATTTAAATGAAAATTTAAAAAAAAAAAGTAAAAACAAAAATTTACCAAAAATAATCTCAACTTTCATTTTGTTGCGCAAAACAAGCCGTTTAGCCCATGGTGATGGGATGCGAACGGTTAAGAGTCTTATTGCCTCAACGAGGTATGTCTTGCTAACCTAACCCTCAAACGTTGAACTATGTTCAACTCATTTGAAAGAGGTACGACCAACGTACGTAGTCGCTGAGAAGTTTCTGTACTGAAAGGATAAGTAGTAGAAGAAGAGAAGAGATCTTTCTTTCGACCAGGCCTTAACTTCCCATCCATTGGTATACCCCTCCTACAGCGGACATAGACCCATCCAGGCGCCTACGGATTCTATCTTATTTCTTATTTTAAGAGAAGCTATTGAACTTGACGAACGAATAGGCCGTAAATTCGCAGTGAGCAACTTAACGGCGACCCAAAAGACACAGATTTTAGTAAAGTTGAGATTATAATGAATTACAAGGAATGATGAGATTATTTTTCAAATATCAGGTAAAGTAGAGATTATTTTAGATAATTTTTCTTAAAATTTAATAAAATAATACGGAGCAATAGAAGAAGGTTATACTCCGCAGTAAATTAAAGTAAACATACTTTGACGCGTTCTAAAAATTTAAAGGAGCTAAATCTATTTCAAACTTCATTCACCTAACTATCATCCCTAATTTTCACAATATGACCTTGGTGTGCTAGTTTTCAAAGTTGATGTACTCAGTTAATTGAGTTTACTTCTTGCACAACAAATAGTGTGAATTAAAATTTCAATTGAGGGTTTTGACTTTTGAGTTTTTTTTAAAACACACCAAGTGTAATGGATCGTATGCATTTGTATATGAGAAAAAGATTATAGTAGTAAAACATTGAAAATATACTAAAATAGGACTTTTATGTTTTTATTCCAAAAGTAAGAGCTAAAATGCATTTACATTACCAAACATGTCATGTACATTACCAAAAAATATAGTAATATGTACATGTACAGTGCTTCATTACAATCACATTACAACAGTGTGAAGTCCTATTTTGAGAATAAAAATATGAAACTTCTATTTTGGTTTTTTTTATGTTTTAGTCCTATTTAGGATGATTTCTATTTGCATACTGGATTTAAGTGTGAAAAAATTAAAATGAGAATAAAATATAGAAAAAGAATCAAAATAGAATCTTCTGGTTTTATTTCCAAAATTGAATCTATATCATCAATAATGTCAATATATAATAGAAAAAATAGTGTGAAATGTCACATATGGAGTACATTGTCATAGTACATAGTGGTATTTTTGATTGTAAAAAATTACCCGCGGGGATGGAATGAATTAAAAAATGTGACCCATGAATTTTTTTGAAGAGGGGTAAAATTGTGTATAATCTTACACCAAATGATGTAAAAGTTATTACACAACTTAATTGGAGGACTTAGGTGCTTCGATCGTAAAGTTGGTTATTCATACCCTTCTAATCCCTAGCAAATCCGTCTAACTCGCTCGTTCCCAACGCACCTTGCACCCGTGCGGCCGTGCCAATTTCATTACACTAATTTTTTTTGACTTTAGGATCACTTTTTTGAGCCAAATTTTGTATAATGAAATTAGCGGTGGTACAGGTGTGCGTTGGGAACGGGACGGACATTATGTAATAATCTTTCACCAATTGAGTTGAACGGGTGGGATCTCCTCGCCCCAATGACATCCTAGGGACAGTTTACTCTGCGATTGGATAGTGGTTTCATTCGTACATCATTGTAGTATCCACAGTCCGACACCTAGCCAATTTCACAAATAAAATTCATTTATGCGCGTTGTTTCGTGTGCGTATACGTCTTTTACTATTTGTTCTTTAGTGTTTAAATTCTACGGAGTAAATCCAATTTCTTTCATTTCTTTGTAATTTTCATCCAGTTCCTTCTAATTTTTCTAGTTCTTCTAGTTCCTTCGAGTTTTTTTCTAATTATTCTCATTTTTTCAAATACTTTCTACTCCCCAACCAATTACTTTAAAAACCATATACTTTTAATGTGGTTATTATTATTATTATTATTATTATTATTATTATCATTATCATTATTGCAACTGTTATGTTCATAATTATAGTTTATAAATTTTTTTCATCTCACTTTTTTTACGATTCGCACTCATTATTTTTTTGTTCAACTTTTTGATACGAATAAGACAATGTTTTTGTATATTAATCGACATGATAAAACAGGAAAACATCAATATTTTAAACTATATCAAAAAATTATGGATAAAATAGTTACATAAAATGTTTTATTAATCTAACTTAATATAAGACCCCTCACCTTTTCCTTATTAATCAAATTTTTTTCATTTTTAATTATTATAAAAAAATTGAAAGTCAAAACAGTTTAGGGAAAAAGACTAAAATAGGTGTAAAACATAAAAAATGTAATAAATTTTTTTTATGTCTTTATCTCAAAAATAGGAGTTACAATGAAAATAAAATGTCAATCATGAAAGAAAAAATAGGTTAACTATAATATGTGACATGTCTGGTCTTTTAAAAAAAATCTGTTAATATATAAAATATAATTACAAATATATTATTTTTAATACATACTGCATAAATAAATTGAGGTGCAACATAACCACAATAACTTTTTAAAATTTAACATTTTGATATTTATGATAACTTTATATTATAATTATTTTTTTTGCAAAAGTAGTTTTTTTGTGTATGAAAAATAGCAATAATTTTTTATCTTAAAGGCATTCATTAAGATAATGTGATGATGATGATGATGATGATGATGATGATGGTGATGATGATGATGATGATGATGATGATGATGATGATGATGATAATAATAATAATAATAATAATAATAATAATAATAATTTGTAACAACAAGAATTAGAATGAGAGTAATATAAAAATACATTACAATATATTTTTTAAAGTTTTTTTAGGTTTTCTAATTTTTTGAAGTTTTTCGAGTTTCTCTAAGTTTCTTCCAGTTTCTTCTAGTTCCTTCCAGTTGCTTCCGCGTGCTTCCAATTTCTTCCAGTTTCTTCTAACATACAGCTTTTTTTTCCAGTCTTAAAGAACAGGCTCTTATTCGTGTATAAAGACTTCCAATTTTTCTTTTTGTAACATCTCACAGAAAGTTCTTATCGTTTTTTATTTCTTTTGTGGCTCACCATTTTTTTCTCTTTTCTACAGTAATTTTAACAAGATAAATTCACTTTTCTTAAATTTTATTTCATGTCATAAAATATTTTTGTATGGGGAAAGTATATAAAAGGAATTTTCCTTTTATTGCACTCTTTCTTCTGGATCAACCACGTTGATTACCTTCAATCATTCACTCCCATTTTATGTGACAGTGTCGTCAATGGATCATCAAGTGTGTGTTGGCCGAGTTCTTTTTATATTGCTTTGAAATAATGATTCAATTGAAAATTCATTAAACGTGAAATTACTAAAAAAGTGTGTTCTAATATTTATACAATGGTTTGTGGTTTGTTTTTTCCTTTATTTAGTCGAACTCATTAAAGATTTTATAAATTGATGGTTAACTTAAACATTACCGAGCATTTGGCTATGATTCTAATATATGGCGTGCATTTGAGGAGGGGTAGGTTGTATGATGGCTTCCTTAGAAAGTCTTAGATCAACTTGAAGGGTAAAAAGAAGGTTGTTCCAAGTACTATATTTATGTTTGAGAGACCCATCAACCATGAAGTAGTTTAAAAATCCAAGGTTAGGGGGTTCTTCTACTTAAGTGAAAAAGCTAGAGAATGAAAGAAATTTGGAAATACACGACATATACTGGTTCGGTACTCTAAGCCAACATCGAATCTCCGAACAAACGTGTTCGAGATTTCACTATCTAGCGTCAAACTTAACCGAGTCTGTCAATCTATACAATGGTCGAGCTTGATTTCTTACACTTAACATTTGATTTCACAAAGAGAATCAAATTTCTACCCAAACTTGAAGTTGTCACAAACTTCAAGTCTAAAACAGATGATGGAATGTACCAAAAAATGATGGAAAGTACCAAACAGATGATGGAAAGTACTTTCATATTTTAGATGATGGAAAGTACCAAAAAGTTCTCCATTTAACGTTCATTTAATGTTCATTTTTGACAAAGAACTATTTGTTGAATAAATCTTATATAATTACAAAGGACCAAGTTGATAATTATTACTTATTGATGACTAATTTAGGAAAACACCTTATTAGAAATGACTATTTTGGGAATTTAGTCTTCAAGGAATGAAAATAAGATGAGGAATGATACTGATTGATACTTCTCAAAAATGGACCAAGACATGTTTAAAACAGAGCCTCAAGTTTCAAAATACTAGCTGTTACGTTTGAGGTAGTTTTTCACAAGGTAATCGATTACTTCCAAAGGTAATCGATTACTTATATAGTACAAATTGTTAAAAATTAATTTTGAAATTACCGATAATTGGTTACACTACCACAATGGCTAATCGATTACTTAAAGTTGAAATAATCGACTAGTCAATAGAGCAAAGAACACATTCTTGAGCCTTTGAACAAAATGAAATTACTTCTTCAAGTAATTGATTACCCTGAGTGTGAAAATCATTTTTTTTCGAAAAGCGAACTACATATCCCAACCCTATATAACACACAAGGTAACAATTTTTCTACGTCTACAACTATAAGCTTGAACTTTTAGTTGTAACATGGTGGTATCAGGATTTTGTTGATCAAGGACTCACAAGTTCAAAACTTATAGTTACCACGTTAAATGAAACTAAAGTTTCACCTACAAAGCTCGAAGCGATCACTTTTTGAATTTACAACTACGGAGTATAAGATTAAATTTTTGCTTGTGTCAGTTTCATTGACAAAGATTATATTTGTTTATATAATTTGAAGTACTAATGATCGAATTATCTGATGATTAGTTATGGTGAAAGTCAAACTATGAATCTTGTTGGAATAAAAAGATAATATGAGTATTTAATAGGTGTAAGAATGCGTTCCGTAGAATAAAGCTGCCTGAAATGAAAAATAATGTCAATCTTACATAGAAAATTATATTGTACTATGATTATCTTCAAGAATATCACTCTACAATATATATGTGTGTGTGTGTATTTGTGTGTGTGTGTGTGTGTGTATGTATGAAGAAATCGTTGTGAGAGCTAAACCAAAAGATTAAAAATATTTCACTACGGTTTAAACTACGCCATTAAAACTGAAACTTTAAATTAGCTTTTTTTATTGTTACACGATTCACATCTCAGCATAATACGTAGGTATTGTGCACATTTCACAAATCATCTAATAAAGGGAGTGAGTTTGCTTTTGTTCTTTGATCACAAGGGCAATTTTACAACTTTTGAAAGATAGAGGATGTTTACCCACTTATATAGAAAGCCACATGGACTATTGATGCATATAGTTAAAATACAAACGTAAGATAACTTATCTAAAATAGTACTCCGATCCCTTTGTCCAAAACTTTTAATCCCATTTGATTTTTTATAGTCACTAATGTAACACTTTGACTATATATATATATATATATATATATATATATATATATATATATATATATATATATATATACATACAAACACCAGCATTCTTCTAATTTTATTCATCATATCTAAGAACATTTTTGGAAAGTTTTTAACAAAATACATTCTTTCAAATTCCTTTAAAAATCAAAACTAGAAAGATTTTGGAGGACAGAAGGAATGACTTAATTGAAGAATGAAATGTCGTACTATTAATCATTATCTTAATGGATTGTGCAATTTCGGCCCATTGAATACAATTATTGGCTCCACCAATGCAAGTCCCTAGCTTAATTAATACCGGAGTACATAAATGGATGAAACTGAGCAATAATGATAACAATACTCCGTAATAATAATGTGGTCGAGTATATATAAACAAACCCCCACCGCCACTCTTTTAAGTTTTGAGTAGCTAGAGAGTTCAGAAGTCTTTAATTTCAGTACGTAGCTTAGCTTCTTGAATTAATTGCCTGCGCCTGCTCTCATAATTACGATATTTATTTAACTGCACTCCTAATATAATATAAATCGTGTCTGTACTCTCTCAGCCCAAATATATATATATATATATATATATATATATATATATATATATATATATATGGATGCAGATATGAAGATGATAATGGAGATGAAGAAAGCTTCAGAGGAAGAAGGAGAAGCGGATGAGAAGAAAGACGAGGAAAAGGCTAAAAATGAAAGAAAGAAGAAGCTCGGGGGCATTAGAACTATGCCATTCATTCTTGGTAATTAAATATATTTAATTTACACCCTTCAAATCTTCAATCCTACCCCTTGTTTTACATTCCCTATAGTAGCTAGTGGTTCTTAATTTCTTGTCACCCAACAAGTAAACATTCTTACTTTAATTTTATTCTAATTTTCTTTTTTATTAATTAGAGATCCTCAGTTCATATTATTAGTTTTATTCTTAAAATTAATAATGAGAAAAGCTCAGAAAATAAGTACAAGGTGCTATAGCTAGGCTCAATAATTAAACAGTGCTAGATCGACGCGGGCTAACTGAATTTAGAGCGTCTTTCAGCTGTCGGTGGACGTTGCCGCACTTGGCATGACAAGTACCCGAATTTGAATTCTGGCAACTCTACTGAATCTTAGTTTGATTTAAGGCAAATTCATAAGGTCTATGTTAATTTTATAGATCTTAGTGCATACATTTGTAGTATAAAAGAAGTAGACCTTTTGTAGACTTTCCACATGTAAGTCTATAAAAAAAGTGAGAATCTCCACATTTTAAATGTAGACTTTGAAACCATATAAGTATCACTCTTAATTTAAAATACAATCTATAATAATTAATTATTTAAATATGTTTTTATTTACTTTTAATAATTTTGAAAATGAACAGTTGATCTAAGAGGAATGGGGTGCACGGTAGGGGAATATAATATGGCCTATGGGTGTGGCGGAGAGGATGGGAGTGGAGCCGTGGCATGGAGTGTTGGGTGATAGTAGAATTGGGTTGAGTAGCTAGGTTTGGGAGAGACGGTGGTATACATGTTTTGGCTTAGGCTCCGTTCCGTTCAACTTATTTTTTCTGATCTGATCTGATTCTAATAAGTTCTGATATGATCTGATCTGATTGGATCTGATCTGACCTGATTGGATCTGATTGGATCGATCTGATCTGATTAGATCTGATCTGATCTGATTCGATCTGATCTGATCTGGTCTGATCTGATTAATTATGATTTAATTTAAAATTTCAAATCAATAATTTAATTTTACTTTATAATAACGTTTGAAAATTGTAATGATAATTCATATTATAATATAATCAATATTTTTTTATTTAATGATTATTTTTTAATAAAATAAAATAGTTAATTCATATATTAGAATAATCATTCATATTATAATGTAATAATATTTTTTATTTTATGATTATTTTTTTGTGAAATTAGAATTATACATTAGAATAAATATTTAATTTAGATATACATTAAAAAGTAAGTAAATTTAGATAATCAATATATAGAAGAGATAGTATTTTTATTAAAATATCTCATCCTTATAAAAAATCAAAAGTTTAGAAACTCAAATAACAAGTTGTAATAAAAATATATTTTAAAAGTAGAATTAGATTGACATTGTCAATGTATTTTAAAACTAATTTTTCCGACGTCTAATAATTAAGGATTACTTTCTCAGTTTTCTATTTAACCTATTTCTAAAGTTTATTCTTTTTCATTTTTAAGAACAATAATAATAATAATGATGATGAGGATGATGATGATGATGATGATGATGATGATGATGTTGATGATGATGATGATAATAATAATAATAATAGAAAACTTTCTCAGTTTTCTATTTAACCTATTTCTAAATTTTATTCTTTTTCATTTTTAAGAACAACAATAATAATAATAATAATAATAATAATGAGGATTATGATGATGATGATGATGATAATAATAATAATAATAATAATAATAATAATAATAATAATAATAATAATAGAAAACTTTCTCAGTTTTCTATTTAACCTACTTCTAAAGTTTATTCTTTTTCATTTTTAAGAACAATGATGATGATGATGATGATGATGATGATAATAATAATAATAATAATAATTGTTGATGGGATCTGATTTTAATAAGTCCTGATTTGATCTGATCTGATCTGATTGGATCTGATCTGATCTGAATGGATCTGATCTGAATGGATCTGATCTGATCTGATTCAATCTGATCTGATCTGATTCAATCTGATCTGAATCGATCTGATCTAATCTGATCTGGTCTTATCTGATTTGATCTGATTTTATTAAGAATAAGAAAAAATAAGAAAAAATAAGTTGAACGGAACGGGGCCGTAATTGTCAAGAAATCAACTCAACCAAAAGCTCAAGTTTGTGGTTGTGGCATAGGAAATATTTCTTATATTCTAACACGTCCCCTCACATGCAAGTGTAGTTTTTTTTCGAGTCTCGCAAAAGAAACCTTAATTTTTTAAAACTGGGTGGTATGGAAAAGTCATTATGTTTTAGTCCTATTTAAGTAAATTTGTCTTATAATATTTGATTAAAGTTATTTTTTATTAAATTTAAGTGAAAATTGAGATTCCTTCATTTTTTGATATTGGCCCCATGTCATAATATGACATTGGCTCCATTGGTTGGTCTAGTTCAAAAATAAACTTTCATTTTCATTAAAAAAAATTTGTGTTTGTCGGCACAAGTTCAAATAAAACCAGAGTCGGAGGGGGGCATGCCAGGCACGTGCCNACCAGTTGTTCAATCTGCCGTTAAATCGTAATCATGCCTAAAATATTATATTTGATCGGTCTCCTTAAGCCAAACTCCCAAGTGTTTCTTATTCATGTTTTAAGTTTTTGTTTAATAACTATTTTATTCTTAGAGCATGGGCAGTGGCGTGTCAAAGCCATTGCCACGCATGCCACCTCATCAAATTTCTTCTTTTTCCATGGCAAGGCATAGCAAGGTACCTTGCAAGCCATGACAAGTGCGAGCCATCTTTTCCTTTTTTTGTTTATTTTTTTTGTAAAAGAAAGAAGTTTTTTTTATTTTTTCAGAGGCAAGCAAAGGGGATTAGAGGCATTGTTTTACATTTTTAATTTTTTTCTGCTTTCCAATCTAACTCTTTAAAAATAACTTAATCCTTTTTTAGTTGTCTTTCTTTTTTCTTTACAATCTATTTTCTTTTTCAAAACAATCTAACCTTTATTTGAGACTAAAAAATATTCATTTTTAAACATTAATGTTTTATGTGAAATTATATAATTTAATTTAAAAAATTAATTTTCTCTTTGTACAATTAAAATCTTTACAAGAAAATGCAATAATTTATAATAAAAAAACACATGGAATAATTAAAATATGTCAAAATGGTAACATTGCCAAAAAAGGATTACAATTATTTTTATTAAAAAAGGTAAGTAAATTAATTTTTAATAATTAAAAAATATTAAAAGGTGTAAAAAATGATAAAAAGAGTGACTTGTCACTGCAAGACATGTCACTCCACTCATGTACCACACGCTGACTGAACTTATTTTGATTGGTTAAAATACTCAACGTCATCGTGTGACATCCAATTTCTTAGTTGCCATTGCACATGCTCTTAGGGTTGTGTTTCAATTTTTGAATACTCCGTATTTGTTAAAAGTAGTACTTTGAATTTAGTTAGTACTCTCTGGCCTTCGTCTCTAAAAGATTGTCACAGTTTGATTTTTTTGATCAAACTGTAGTACTATTTGACCACGAATTAAATATAAGTTAAAATAATTAAATATTATAAAAATTTGATATTTTAAAACTATATTTTAAAATAATAAATTTTACTAAATTTATTATATATTTTTTTTTTCAATAAATTACAGTCAAGGCTTACACAGTTTTACCACAAAGTTCAAACTGTGGTAATCTTTTAGGGATAAAGGGAGTATTAGAGTTAATTAAATTACGACATATTGTTACTTGTTTCATTAATGATTTATTTATCTTTGGTAAATGATAAAGACAAGAAAAAAGACAAATTTGTCCATCTCAAGAATTTCTAATTTGTAACAGTATAAATAAATCATTAATGAAACAAGTAACAATGTGTTGTAATTTAATTAACTCTAATACTCAAGAATTTATCATTTAGACAACTAAATTTTTTCCTTGTCTTTTTCATTAATGTTACTTGTCTTTATCATTTACCAAAGATAAATTCTTTAGACAACTAAAGAATTTATATTTGGTACTCCCTCCGTCCGGAAATGTTCTTCCCGTGTTGACTTGGCACGCTTATTAAGGAATAGTAAAAAAATACAAAATTTTCAAAAATACACATACTATAAACTTTTAAATCTCCTTTTATTATTAAATAAGTACTAAAAAAGTATATTTGTGATAAAATAGAAGGGTATTATTGATATTTAGCCTTAAAAAGTATACTAAAAAAGAAAATGTGAAGAATATTTCCGGACGGACCAAAAAGGAAAATGGAAAGAATATTTCTGGACGGAGAGAGTAAATGATAAAGACAAGGAAAAAATTTCTTTGGAGAAAGTGTGGTTTTAGATGATGATATTATTGGTAATATGGGATTACGAAAAGTAATGAATACTTATGCATTTGAAATTAGAATACCACAAGGAAAAGATACTTAGCAAAATGCTCTTAGCGTCTCAAAATTTTTTTTACGGTCCCAAAACCATTCTTCCTTATTACACAAATAAAAGGTACTTATATGTAAATTTACTCTTTTCCTATTAAAGATGGTACTATTATTAGAATTTTTTGTTACTCCGTATTTTTAAATGAATTTGTGCTTCCTCATGACCGTAGTTGTGCCCTTGGGAGGATTCGATCCTGCCTCCGCAAGTGAATATAACTTACCTTTACGCAGGGTGTTTCAAAAGCTAACTCATGTGTGTTTGATTGTTTGTTGAACCCTATTTGATCCCTGTAAAGTTTTTAAATTTTTGTTTTTTGTCCCTTTAAAGTTCTTTTACTTTAGAAAAATGCTAGAGTCACAAATATTTCGGTCACAAAATACACAATCTTGTCATTTGTGCACCTCATTTATTTAATAAAATGATATTAAATAATTAAAAAGTAGACATTTAAATACTCAAATAGTAAGTTTGTGTATTTTGTGACCAAAATGTTTGTGACTCTAGCATTTCTCTTTAGTTTATTCCTATTTTAACTTAGTCTTTTTATTCAAAATATAATTTATTACAATGTCAAAGTCAACAAAATATTTTTAGAAGTTTAATTGAATAACTACATGATTACAAATTCTTACTCCTCCGTCCCTAAGTATTTATCCATTTTTAACTTTTTTCGGTCAAAATTGGTAAACTTTGACATCAAATTAAATAAAAATGATACTCTGTATTAGATATTGATACAAAAATAATTTTATTAGATCTATTATGTCAAATATTTTAAAAATATTATCTTATCTAATTAATATACAATATATACGGAGTATTTTATTTAATTATAAGTCAAAGGTTGAAAATAGTTCACCAAAAAGTCAAAACTAAACAAATATTTATATAGAGGTAGTATACTTTTTGTCGAAAATTAATACTTTCAATAAAAGTCTTTGGCTAACGAAATAAGATTTGCAATCTAAGGAGCTTGATATTGAAATCTTGTTCTAATATGACTAGTGATAGAATCAAATCTACTCATCTAAGTGAGTCTTAAATTGCGTCCCGTTCAACTTAATCTTAATCTTAATTCTCTAATCTTAACCCTAATCACAATTCCCTAATCTTAATTTTCTAATCCTAATCTCAATCTTAGTCGAAATCCCCTAATTTTAATCTCCTAATTTTAATTAATCTTAATCCTAATCCTAATTTTAATCCTGATTCTAATCCTAATCCCCTAATTCTAATTATTACCTTAATTCTAATCTTAATTTTAATCCTAATCCTAACTTTCTAATCCTAATCCTAATCATAATCCCCTAATCCTAATCGTAATCCCCTAATTCTAATCGTAATCTTAATTCTAATTCGAATTCCCTAATCTAAATTCTCTAATCTTAATTCTAATTCTAATTTTAATCTTAATCCTAATGTAATCCTAATCTCTTAATTCCAACCCTAATCCTAATTCTAACTCCTTAATCCTAATTCCCTAATCTTAATCCTAATCCCCTAATCCTAATTTTAATCATAATCTCCTAACCCTTTTCCTCTAATCCTAATCCAAATCATAATCCTAATCACCTAATCTCAAGTAATCTTAATCTCCTCATTCTAATTCTATTTCAGTATTTCTAATTCTAATTCTAATTGTAAAGAGTTTATATCAACAAGGTCTATGTAATTATAATGGATTAGAGGACTATGAAAGTATTTGACCATTTCAAAAGGGACAAGGCGGCCGGCCAAAATGGGAGCATGTGATCTGTTTAAATTCCCGCCAATAATGATGACCAACGCACTAAACACAGAAGAAAAACACATTATTGCGATCATGGAGAGGAGAAGAAAAACCTCCCACGGGGGGTGGGGGTGCAGAAGAAATGACAATTAAATCGTTGATTCTTGGAGATTTATCCTTGCTTTTATCTTAGGAGGGAGGAATGAGGAGGAAATGAGAATGAAATTGTAGATTTTTTGTTATACTTGCATGCAGTATGTTTGATAAAATGCCTAGCAGAGTTTCTTTATTTGTCATTACTTCTAATTTAAATCTAACAAAACTATCACCTTCCAATTGAATCTGTTTTGTTTTGTTTATTGACTTATTGTGAATTGTGATTGACTCATTACCTGCTTTTGCAAATAATGAAACAATAATTGTTATTAGATCCTTGGTAAAGAAAGATGCAATTCGAGCTAGATGATCATCTTTTTGTAGACATCAAGCAATTTAAAGCAGTTTTAGTAGAACAACTTTGTTGTGTAGAATGAGCTACATAAACTAACGCAAATCACTTTTTGTGTTTTGACAGCGAATGAAATATGCGACAGAATTGCGGGTGTTGGTTTTCACGCCAACATGATAACGTACCTGACACAGGTGCTAAATTTGCCTCTTGTGAAGGCATCCAATACTCTCACCAACTTTGGTGGAACCTCCAGTTTCATGCCCCTTGTTGGTGCTCTTATTGCAGATTCTTTTGCTGGACGATTCTTTACTATCATTGTTGGATCTATCATTTATGAGTTGGTCTCTCTCTCTCTCATGGATTATAGATAGACAAGAATGAGTTGAAAAAGTTATTCCAAGATATGGATGTTCTATTTTTTTTAAATTAAAAACATATGTTACAGGGAATGATAAGTATCACCGTTTCAGCAATATTGCCACAACTTCGTCCTCCGCCATGCCCCACTCAAAAAGATTGTAGGGAGGCTTCCAACCATCAACTTTGGGTACTCTATGTTTGTTTACTCCTGACATCTATTGGTGCTGGAGGGATTCGGCCTTGTGTTATTACCTTTGCCGCTGATCAAATTGACATGACAAGGACAAAAGTTGAGGGCCGTAAATGGAACTTCTACAACTGGTACTATTTCTGCATGGGAATGGCCACTCTAACAGCGCTTACCGTCATAGTTTATATCCAAGATAATGTGAGTTGGGCTTGGGGTCTAGGACTTCCTACCATTGCTATGGGACTATCAGTTGTTGTTTTTATTTTAGGGTCCCCTCTTTATAGAAAAGTAAAACCAGGAGGTAGTCCATTGGTTAGATTAGCACAGGTAATTGTTGCATGTGTTAGGAAGAGAAATGTTGTCATGCCTTCTGATTCTGCTCTCCTGTACGAGAATCAACAACTTGATGCTGTAATCTCATGTAATGGGAGGCTTCTGCATACTGATCAATTTAGGTAAGTTTCCTTCTTAAAGTTTAAATCTACCATGAATATACTTTGTTTAAGTGGGTATCTATGAGATGCAATCATGAAAATTGAAAAAGGAAAATGAGAAGCTTTAATTGGGCATTCATTGATGTTTTAGCGTCAATGGCACGTTATAAGTCTTTTGCTTTTTTACTTTTTATGAAGTTTTGGCTAGGCAAAGCAGCAATGCATCAAGCATGTAACTTTGTTTTTTAAGGTTGCGTACATTAAATTTCCTTTTTATGATGGAGGTAAGGTTGCGTACANATTGGGATATTATTGTTGTTATTGAAAAGTTTCATTCGGGACAAAGAGAGTATCAAATTGCATTTTATTAAATCTTAACAAATTACATCATAAAGTTTTAAAGGTGATGTCTTTGGGTCATTAATTTGTGTGTAATGATTTTCTGGTGTTGATGTTTCAAGGTTTATTGACCGTGCGGCCATAGTCGATGACTCTGACATGAGAGAACCAAACAAACCAAACCTGTGGAGGCTTGCAACTGTGCATAGGGTGGAGGAACTTAAATGCATCCTCAGGATGCTACCTGTTTGGGCCGCTGGCATATTACTCATCACCTGCTATTCACACGTTGGCAGCTTTACCATCCAGCAAGCACGCACTATGGATCGCCACTTGTCCCGCTCCTTCCAAATCCCTCCCGCCACCATGTCTATCTTCACTGTCTCGACTGTCCTTTTGGGGCTTGCTCTATACGAGCGCGTCTTTGTGCCTTATATTCGCAGGTTCACTGGGAACCCCTCAGGAATCACATGCCTACAGAGAATGGGTATAGGTTTTGCAGTTAACATCATTGCCACCATTGCTTCAGCCCTGGTCGAGATCAAGCGCAAAGCTGCCGCTGAGCGTCATGGCCTGCTTGATCAACCAGCTGCCATCATCCCCATCGGTGTCTTTTGGTTAGTCCCTCAATATTGCCTCCATGGGATAGCCGAAGTGTTCATGTCAGTGGGTCATCTTGAGTTTCTAATTGAGCAATCCCCAGAAAGCATGAGAAGCACAGCGGCAGCACTCAATTCGCTGACTTCTGCAGTAGGAAACTACATGGGCACATTCGTAGTGTCATTAGTGCACAACTACACAGGCAAGGAAGGGAACTGGCTACCCGACCGAAACCTGAACAGGGGACGATTGGAAAACTATTACTGGCTCATAACTGGTATACAGGTCCTAAATTTCGCATACTATGTCACTTGTGCTATGTATTATAGGTACAAACCAATGGGAGAACATATTGCTGGTGATGAAGCTGGCGTGGAGTTTGGCTTGAAAGATGAAGTTCTCTTGGCTAATAGTGATGACAAAGAAGTTGAACTATCCAGCAATGGTAAATTGTAGTCATTTGAAGGATTGCAATAAGTAGAGAACAAAATATCAGCTCAAAGAAAGACGTACGTATTGTCTATTTTGCAAAGTACTTTTTCGAATTCACTTGACATATAACTGTTGGAGAATTGTTGACGAAAACCAGCAAACTAGACAAATAGTTATTAATAACAAACTTGAGTCGAGTCAGACGCTGTCCTTAAGGAAATATATTTCGGCACATGGAAATTTTCCCCTATGATATAAAACAATCTGAGCTCTTCAGCATTCCGTTGGAATTAGAATTAACGAGAAATTCAGGAGTAATTATCGCCCAACGGAATTCTTCCTATATAAAGGAGTAAACAAAATTTTCATTATTGATGTGATATTGTGTGTAGCCAATAACAAATGTAATAATCGTAGTTACTACTCTTCTGATTTTGAAGTAAGTATACATCTATCATGATTTTCTATCGCTGGAACGGTAGCTGCCTACTGCCACAGACCATCTACCGCCACCGTACCGGTACTCAGGTACCAAACTAGGTACCGTCTAATACCACTGTGTTATTCCTGAACTTGTTTCCGTGTCGAGGATTTATTCTGAGACTTTTTATGTTGCATGACGGTAAACATGAGTGTTTACACCCATCGCTAGGCCAATGGTTGGTCATGTTTGGTTATGTTGGATATGATTATGCCTATTATGAATGTTATGCAATTGTGAATGTAATGTAATGGTTGAAGTTTTATATATCTCTAGAGGAATTCTAGGATTTGACCTAAATGGAATAGAGGCAAAATATGTCATTAGTATAGAAAGGTTAGAGCATGTCGTACCTGTTGGGTCTAATGGTTATTCAGGTACAAATGTGCGCACAAGGATCTATGAACTGTTGTTCTGAAGGGGACATGGATCTCACCCACCCACAAGGAATTCCCGAGTATGTTGAGCTTGATCTTCATTCAGAAGGGGAAGGTCATGACTCCAATAAACAAGTCAGAATTAATATAAGCTTTAACCTAGAATAGGTTATGAGCCAAGTATCTAAGTTAGATGACTAAAGTAATGAGAGCATAATATCTTGTAGATTCTAATCCGGGTGTCGCACGGGAAAAAAATGATTCATAATTTTAAAATAAAGTTTTAATTAAATATAAACGCTTATCATTTCGCTTTGCTCACAGAAATGTAATTTAGTATCCTATTTGAAGATGACCATAATAAATTTGAATTGTTATTTTTTGAACCTGAAGAGGGTAGTATTTTAAGATATAAATTATAATACAATTGATGTATAATATCATTGAACATTAAAATACTTCATAATACACCGAGAGATATAGACACATGTCCATTTATAAATATTTTTTCAAAATCTAATTTAAATAGCACTATAATACACACAATAAAAGAAGGCATTTTTAGGGAATGTTTCATTGGCGAGAACTTGCTTGTTAGAAACCCTGTTGGCAAATTCAACAAGGGATATGTAATTTACATCATTTGCAAGTGCTTGAAGATGCACGTTTTTGTTAGAAGCAAAACAAGACATCTCACCAGTACTAATAGAGAATTACCAAGATTAAAATCAGATTTATATAATTTGATAGAAGTAAGAGGTGTTTCCCAACCCATGCTTCTACGCAAGTAGCTGGGTCTTTTAGATTGAAACAACACATTGCAAGAAGAGTTTCCAACGCTTGAGAATCTAATACAATTATTCCATTCTTAACCAATGTAACTACAAAAAGACAAAAAAAAAAGTGGTGAAGGGGAATCACATAAAAAATCAAGAAAATATAAAATCAGTAAATCCTGAAATGATTTCTTAAAGAAATTAAATCAATATTAGCATGTAAAAATGAAGAAATAGAAGTATCACAGAAGAGGAAAGAGTTTGTGCTCAACAATGTTGATGAGATTGGAAGGGTACCCTCTCAAAGAGATTTGGGGGTTAAAACCCAGTTTTTGCTGATTATCTTTGTGTCGGTGCCAAGAACTTTATCCTCACTTTGAGCTTTTCAATAGCGCTACTTGAGCTTTTCCATTTTCATGCCAAAGATTTGACCTTTTAATGAAGAATTTGGAGCTAGACACTAGATTTGAGCCAAGAACTTTCCTTTTTCCCGTGCAAGAACTGACAATGGAAATAGTTACACCTCTGCAATTACAACAACAAAAACAGAAGAAAAAGACCAACAACACCAACCAAAGTAATAGAATGATTTTATGAAAAAGTGTAGCATAATCACCCATTTTAAATTGTAACTCAAACATTTTCTTGTTCACTACAAACAAAATTTAAATTAAACATAAAATAATTAAATAATGGACAATCAAATTTAGGAAAATCAAATTTAATACATATGAAAATCATATTGTAATAAAAAAATGAATATAGGAACTTAAAACCTGTGACCGTGCTACCTTTGTTGATGTCACACAAAGTCGTCCACCGTAGCCAGTTGCCCCATCAGATTCATTCAAGTTGCTACCCAGTTCCCATTTGCTTACTGCGAAATTCCTGGTCCTAGACATTGGTCGCTCAGAAGCCACAGTTGTCACCATTCTTTAGTCGGGCCTAAGGTTTTGTGTCACCCCGATACCCGCTCTCGATTTAAATCCTCAAAATCAAAGTTTTTCATGGTCGCCTTCATTGTCTGCTTCATTCCTTGCCGGCTCCCTACGTATAAATTGAGGCAGAAGACGGTTAGATGAAAAGGGGGAAGAAAATTAGCGAAGATGAAAGAGAAGTCATAATAGATATCATTTGAAACTAAAAGTTTAAAAGTACTATGGATATGAAAAATCACTGAAAGCTATGTGCGAAGTCCTTCTAAGTCCTTTTACAATTACCAAAAACTGTAAAAGAAGTCGGCTGAAAATGTTCCCGCTCTAAAAATCATCCTGCTTTTGTATATAGTAGGATATGTTAGAAATTGCTTTAGAAACATTCAACATGTCAAGAAACATTGCTTATAGACGAATAAAAGTAGAGATCTAGTGTCAAAGATTCATCCATAATTTAAAAAACTCTTGAAGTATGAGTTCAAATTCATATTGTTGTTCTGATAATTGCACTAGTAGAGTACTTCTAATTATTTCCTACGACACAAACTAAAATAAAAGAGAATACACCAAATATAAAAATACCTAGGATAATGGATACTCACATGCTCTTCCTTCAATTCAGATAGATCTTCCTAAAGATTCACCAGTCATGCCCCGAAAGCACTAAATGGTAACATTCTTGAGCTGCATCGTAGACGATGTTCTCACATATAAATTTTTTAATATTTACACATGTCCGATTTTTGGAAGACCGTAGAATATAAGTGTGGTCCTCTCTGCAACCTCTAGTCTTTAGAGACACCATAGTATACCCTCTGAATGTCATTCTCATGCCTATGAAATTGAGCTTGTAAAAAACATAGGAAACAATTTAAAGCAAATTAAATAAAAAACTAATGCATCTATGATCATAGATAAGAAAGATATGAAGAACTGCCAAAATGGAAGGAGCTGCTGGACCTTGGCGTGAGAAGGGAAAGGAAAACAAAAAGTTTTTCCCTGCTCCATTGGTTACGTACTACGTGTCTGATTTCCACAGTTTTCGTTGCCAAATATTTTTAGAAAAAAATAAAATTTATACTATTAAGTTTCATATTTCCCGCATTATTTTAATATAGTTTGTTTTTCAAGAAAAACAAGCTCACTTGAACAAATAATATTATTCAAATAGTAGAGAACCAAAACTTATTTTATTTCTTTTACTCATCCCCTGGAATAATTTAACCATTAAAGCTTGAATTCCAATTTTTTATTTTTAAATAAAGAATAGTGACATTTTTTAAGGAACATTTTTTTCCATACTTAAATTATAAATCTTTTTTTCAAATTTTTTAAAATTTATTTTGTAGTAAAAAAAGTTATAAATTTCTAGACCAGTTTTCAGGGCGTTACATGGATGATTTAATTAATAAAAAAGTTCAAAATTCAATTGACTCCTTTTCATGATTTGGATTATGTGGATTATGCTTTAATTTAGAAGATACCAATAAGGGTCAAAGCCATGTTTATCCCAATGGTTAAAGAAGCAGTCGCACACTCGGTTCTTGATGAAAATGATGGTTGTGATTCAGAGGGATCAAAGGATGAATCATATGTTGGAGATGATGTGAATAATGTATTTGAATCCATGAATGAAGATGACGGGAAGTCGAGCATTGTGGAAGCAATTGATGATGATTCTAAGCATGAAGATGTTGCTATGTCTACAAGCTAGATCCTACTTTTCAGAAATATTATACACAAATAAATACCTCGGTTGGTATAGTTATTGCAGAGTATGATGTTATCGACAAAGTGGAAGATGCATATTATAATTATAAGCAAGCGTGCTCACCCATTTTGGTTGGCACTATCAAGTTGTTTGAGCTTGTTGATGTTGTCAAGGCTGAGTACCTGGTTTTAAAAAACGGTTTGAAGAGTGTTAATTATTTTCCTTGAATCATTGTGTGAGAGTGCATGTGTTTATATATACAAGTATTCCTAATCCTACGTAAGGTAAGAGAGTATAATAGGAAACAAGATATATACAATAAATATAGAATATATTTAACATAAATATAGAATATATTTAACATTCTCGCTCCCGGCGGCGTCGGCCGCGTTGGTGGCGGGCGAATCCCGAGGCTCGTGCGAAAGTCTATAAACAAAGTGGACGGGAGACCTTTTGTGAATATGTCAGCATACTGTGAAGAGGATGACACATGAAGAACTCGGAAATGGCCAAGATCCACCTTTTCACGAACAAAGTGGATGTCTACCTCAACATGCTTCATGGCTGTGAGATGGACATCTCGTGGGGCATGTAAATGGAGACAGAGCTGCTGCACAAAATAAGAGATGTCTGGTCGAGTAAATGTGAGATACTGGAGTGCACCGACAATGGAGTGGTAGAGAGCTGGATCAGCTACCAAAGAGCCAGATATGCTGGAGTGGAGATGGCACGACAAGAGACCATGCCAGCACGCTCAAGAATGTTGTGCACAAACTGTGTCTGATGTAGAAAGAGGCCATGAGTTGTACGATGTACATTAATGCCAAGGAAGAAATGAAGGTCGCCCATGTCAGTCATAGCAAATTCTCCCTTGAGATGCTGAGTTAGTCTCTGAAGTAGAGGGTCGGAGGAGGCAGTAAGGACAATATCAGCCACATAGAGAAGAAGGTAGGTAATGTTTGTCCCATGAAAGTAGATAAAAAGGGACGTATCAGACTTGCAGCTGCGGAAGCCCAGTGTGTAGATGAATTCAGCAAAGCGATGGTACCATGATTGGGGGGGCTGTTTCAAGCCATAAAGTGCCTTCTTGAGCTTGCATACATAATGGGGCCTAGCAGGATCCTGGAATCCAGATGGTTGTGAGGCATAAACAACTTCTTAAAGATGGCCATGAAAAAAGGCATTTTTGATGTCCAGCTGATGAATCGGCCTACCCTGAGAGAGAGAGAGAGCGAGGCTAAGAATAATGTGGATAGTGGCCGGCTTGATCACTTGGCTGAAAGTCTCATCATAGTCGACTCCGTACCTGACCTGTGAGGCCAAGTTTGTGCCTAAAAAGTCATTTGCCAGTTATAATATTTTGGTGAGGGGAGGGGGGTACTAGTTCAATTTCCATGTATCATTCTTAATCAATGCATTAAATTCTTCACAGATAGCAGTATGCCAGTTTGGATCTTTAAGAGCACTACGGTAGGTGAGGGCAAGGGTGAGATGGGGACAGTGGTGTTTAAATTGAGGATGTGCTTGGGACAGGTGATGCCAGTTTTCGAGCGCGTGACCATGGGGTGTTGGTTTGTGGTTAAAGGGGGGTGGTCGTTGGGGGGAGACCCGGTTGGGGTGGGTTTGGCTGAGTGGGGTTGGGCCGGTTGGGGAGGGGTAAATGACGGGTTGGGTGGGTTGGCTGGGGCAGTGGGCTGGGCCGAAGGCCCAACGCTGGTTGTGAGGCCGTTTTGGGCCGAGAAGAAGGGTGAGAAGATGGGGTTGGG